CAAACAATGTGCAGCAGCTGGTGACGAAAGTGCTGCTGCACCCGCTCTTGCACGTGTCGTGGCAGGGGGTGGAAAGTCAACTTCAAGTGATTTATCGGGTCTCCTGTCCGTGAGGCGGCGAGTTGTTGAGGGTGCGCTTGTTTGGCTGAGGAAGATCAATCCTCGCTATGCCGAGATCGAGGTCAACTCGGCAGGGATGATAGTTGGGACCGCACAGGTGTCGTCGTGGGTGTACGATTGCCTGAAAGGGCTGCACATCGCCAGCTATACTGTCCTCCTTAAGCGCATATTCTTTCGATGGCCTGTCGGATCTCTCCGACTTCCGCCTTGCTTCTGTCCTTATATTCGACTCTGGACGTATCAAAAGTACAGTACAAGGTCTCAGTGGAGGCGCTTGGTGCTGTGCGAATCAACGAAAGGTGCGGACGTTTGTCGCCTGGCTCGTGGTGATGTGGCCACATCTTCGTATGACATTCGTGGACCGGTCTGGTGGCTCGCGAGGATCGGCTACTCGCGATCACATTAAGCTTGTCGCGCATGTGCTTCAGTTCATCGCCTGTCTCCTTCACTTGTCGGTTTAGTTCTTGGATGATTTGCAGCTGTCCAGTGCCGCTGCTGCTGACCTTTCGCGGCTCGGTCGTGCTGTTAGCCGCAGCCTCGTCCAGTGTCGCTCGCGTCGTGCTTCTGGCGCTTTTCACTTTCCTATTCGCCGGGTCTTCAAGCTGTCGTGCGGTGTTTCGGACCTTGCTCCTAAGCTTGACTCGACCTTTTCGTGGGCGTCGGAGTGAAGGGCGCCCTGCCCCACCATGATGACGGCCTCCGCCCGCCCTTCAATATTCACCAGAGTTGATAGCCGGAAAATATTTTTCCCGGCCTTAGGCGCCAGCCCGATTGTTGCACAACCGTCACCTTCAGGCACCGATGGACCTTTCTGTCCATCAACCTCTGCTGCACAGTTCTGCTTATGGCGTCAACGACATTCTCTATTGAGGACGCAAGGAGATTCCTTCTTGAAGATGGCTTCTACCACTTGTTGGACCCGGAACAGCAGGAACATAAAATGGCCATGGCGCAGGAAGACTTTGCCCTGTCGTCGGAGTACGGCCTGGACTTTTGCAAGCTCAAAGTCCTTGACGACTTGGTCAGTAATGGCGAGACATCCTGGTGATATTTACCTAACTCGGATAAGCGCATTCGATCAATCCTTGAGGCTTTCTTTGAATGGTCCGGCCTAGGACTCTATCTACGATACAGAAGAGATCCAGGTCACATATTCTCCTTTAGGAGGGGTGGCGCAAAGGCTGGTTTGCGCGTCCTGCTTGTTCAGGTGTGGAGCAAGGGATCTCGAGCGGCATTCTACAGCGGTTCACATTTGCATTCGTTACCTACCGTTCGAGCAGCAAACGACTTGTTCGAAATACCATCTGCTGCCTTGAGGAGAGTGGGCTGTGAAGGCAAAGAGACTGAATTTTCGAATGGCGGCTTGTGAGTTTATCCGCCGCCGCCGCCCCGGCATTTACGTTCTGACGTTCGTTTAGAGTTATTCTCGACGCTCGACTGTCTTTCGAGATCAAGCAAGGCTCCGCAACCATGTTTGCATTTACAACCAGGGACGAACTGGCGACATGGGCTAAAATGATCCTGCCGAAGTCACCGGGCTTGGCGCAAAAGGTCGCCGAAATGGAGAGCACAACTATCGGCGTAAATTTTGCATTTGAGGAATGAGGAGTGAACTCTGAAGACATGGCTTAACAGAAAAAAGATTATTGCTCTTGGTACCCTGCAGCTTCATCCTGTGATTCCTGGAATTCAACACCATTGTTTTGCATACTTCGAGACCGATCAACTGTTGGAAGCAAAGGTGAAGTCATGATGTCTGTATGAACTTGATCCAACCCCCCCCCCTGGTATTGCTGCGCCGTATGGTTTGGCGGAAAGGTCATGTTCCAGAAGACGGGAGCGCTATAGTCTTCATACGGTTGGTCCAGAAGTTGCGAAGTCCGGTACAAGGTCGGCACTGGAATATTTGCAAAGTCGCCACCGATAGCCATGGCCTCATCACAGCTAGCCGATGGCCTAAGAGTGGTGACTGATTGCATGGAGTTGAGGACGTGGCCACGGCCCGTGCCTTGTTGGACGTTAGAACGCTGGCGAGGAAAATTCCGGAAAGAGTTCCATACCTATGAGGTCATGGAAAGGAGCTGGTGGCAATGAGTTCCTAATTTTCTCATCGACGCTGTTAGTTTCTGCTCTTGTCCTGGTCCTTTGAGCCCTCGAAGTCGTCGGGCTCAATTCCATGTTTGCGACATCCAAAGATCGTTTCTTGGTCCTATTTTCCCCTCTTTTTGATGGATGCCGAGATCCTGCAAGTAAAGGACGCAGCTCATCATCGACCCGTTTACGGAGCCCATCGCAGATCTGGGCTGTATACGAATCTTTTGCCTCATGCCCATCTCTATGGCTGCTTGCATGCCCAATGTACTGACTCGCCCTGGTGAAAACTCGGAAGCAATACACGCATACTTCTTCGCACCGAACGTCTGCGCTTGGAGTATTAGCAATCCGCCTATCCAGAAAATGGAACGAGTGTTACGTGTTGCAAAGTGCCGCCGAAGTCTTTTCTTTTGTCGAAGGGCTCGTTTCGCCTGCAGTCTTTGTAGGGGCAGTAGTGTGATCGCGACCATGCGATGTTCGTCGCTGCATATGCTACTTCACCGTCATCGTCCTCTCCGTCGCAGTTATCGCCATTCCCATTATCGTTGCCATCATTTCCATCACATGGCGTATCGTAGCTATCGATGAGCTGACTTGAGTGGGCTCGACATTTGGCGATCTCGGCTGATAGAAAGCTTTCCTTAGACTGGAGAAAGATCAGCACGGCCAGTGAAACGGCTAGAGATAACTTACTCGATATCCTTCAATATGGGTGCGTAGCTCCCTGTTTGTTGGAAAGCAGCCCAAGCAAATCTGACATTGTCGCTGCTGATAGATCTCATCCGACATGTTCTCGTCAATTTTTGGAGGACGAAATGGCAAGACAGTCAGCTGGGCAGAAAATTAAGTGGAGGATACGGGGTATCACATGTTGCCCTTGTGGCCAATAAGCAATTTGCTGAGGTAGCGAGCTGACAAATTTCCCCGCCTTTAGGTTTCTCCACCTCTCATGTCGGGAAGCATTCACCCTTTTGATATCCTTGCTAAGAACTATTTGACTCGCCTTGACTCGCATCTGCTTACAACTGCCTGTGCCGAAAACGAAAATGTCCAAATGTTCCACATGCGCCGGTCATGGCGTGGTCAGGGAATCATATGCCCTGATTGCGGCGGGAAGGAGAGACCGTGAAGTGCAGGCGGGCATCATCTTGTAGGTGAGCGCGTCTGGAACGCACGACAGCCGACAGATTACCGCTTCGTATTTTACTAATTCATCTGTCAGCATAATCACGAGCCAAAAGAGCAAGAGCAAGACGAGCGGAAAGACGAACAGCCAGAGGAACAGCCAGAGGAACAGCCAGAAGAGCAGCTAGCCAAGCAGCAGGACGAGCCCCTTAGAGCAAGACTACCGACATGCAACAAGTGCCACACAGAAGGTCATAGGAGAGGTGCAAATGTTGCCCATTATTATTATTATTATTATTTTGTATTGCGCCCGGAGGGTTCCCCCATAGAGCCACTACGCTAAGCTACGTACCTACTATACATGGTTTCTCCTCACCTAAAGCCCAACGCTTCTTTCCATCTGTTTCCAGCCTCGTTCGCTGTGACATGACAGGCCTGCTTGAAGGTCAGTTTCTCCAAGTGTTCAGCGTCCTACCTTCAGCGACTGAAGCGCGGTCTGCCAAGTTGAAGGCTGTTGTGTTAGTATGGTTGTTCTTGATCAGTACATGGCCCGTTAACGGTCCATACTGAAGCGTTTTGTCGCCAATGCGAACTGTATCGTCGCACGCACAGCCCCAATATCAGGTTGCCACTTGTCGTCGTCTGACTCTGCCTTGCCTCCTAGGAAGAAAGACAAGTCTCCCACCTTCCGCGCGCATATCGCAGCATGGTCTCTCGTTGTACCGTCCATCTTCTGCATCGAAAGAGGAAATGCTCCACTGTTTCTGCAGACTGCCCACAAGTGCACTCATCCGATTCCACCGCCCCGATTTTGCAGAGGTAGCTATTCAGCCGCGATTTGCCAGTTCGAAGTTGTATCAACACTTCGGATTCCTTTCTTGTTAGCTCGTCGTACAACTTGCGGGTGTGCTTGCCCGGCAATGCCTTATCGATGCGCTTTGAGTGCTTTCCAACCCTTCCGGGATCTGACGAACGCGAGCGTTTTCGTTGAGCAGCAGTCGTAACGTCGTTGATCTTGCTTGAAACGTTGCTGGTTCGGCGATGCACTCGTCTCGCGTCGCTCTTTTCGCTTGCATTTTGGCCAGTGGCCCAAGGGTGAACTCCTCATTCTTTGCAGGCACCCAACGAAGTCTGACTCTGCAGCCTCTTTTCGCCAGATACTCAACAGATCCGTATATCGCCCGTATCGTGCACTGACCAGACTGTTGCCGTGGCCGCCCGATGACTTGCAGGACAGAGCGGTTGCTCGTCACAACCGTGAGATCTCGGTCATGAAGACCGAGAGGTACACACCTCAGAGCCGTGGCGATTGCCTCGAGTCCTGCTGTGTAGGCATTCTCTCATCACTGGAGCCGAGAGTGACGGAGTAGCTGGCCAGCACTTCGTCTACGCTGTCGCGGAAGCATCCCGAACGACGCCTCCCAACCCGACCTTGCCTTTCCTTTGCGAGCTGGACGTCGCAATAGTGATGTCCTCCGGGTCATCCGACTTCAGCACCTCCACTCGGTCTGTCTCATCCGTTGCCTGCACTCGTTCGTCCCACGGCGCCAGTGCGAACTCGTGGATGACTTCCAGGCGCTTGGTATCTATTCTTCCCATCGCCGAGGCGAGCTTCTGCATTGGCGACGCATACCTCCTGTTCAGTTTGAGCCTCAACGATGTCAGAGGATGCGTCTTCGGAGCGTCCGCATCCTTATCCAGAATTTCGCTGCCGCTTGAGCATGCCGTTCTCGGAACGATTGCACGCCGGCCTCGGCCTCGGCCACTGCCGTTGCCACCGTGCGGAAGCCTCCCGTGACAGCCTGGGCTCCGATTCGCTGGGCCCTGCCAATCCACACCGCTTCTTTCACCCCGCACGCGTGCGACCACACGTTTGAGGCATAGTCCATGGCTGGCGCCACGGTCGCGACGAACAGTTGCCTCGCCATCCGTGGCGAAGCCATCTTCAGTCGTTTCAAACACATGGCCGCGGCCAGCCCCTTGGCGGCCGCTCTGGCGATGTGTTCCTGAAGCGAAGCGCTTTGTCCATGATGACTCCCAACAGCTTCACGTTGCTCTTCGGCTTGACATCGTTTTTGATGATGAGAGGCAGGTCGCTGTCACGCCCGCGATGCGTGAAGTGGATGAAGGATGTCTTCTCTGCTTCAAATGTGGCGCCGCTGCGCTTCTCCCAATCAAGCGCATCATCGATAATCGACTGGATACCATCTCTGTTTGACTCTGCCGTTGGCCCCGTGACCCAGGCAGAGTAATCGTCCACGAAGGCGATGGAGCCACCGTTATTACTGATCCGTCTTTGCACCAGGTCTGCGTTGAAGAAAAGAAAAGCCACTGGCGACAGAGGAGATCCCTGGGGTAGGCCGGCCTGCGGCAGGGTTTGTTGCTCGGATGTGTGCCCGTTGACAACCACCGACGCGGTCCGTCCCGAGCAGAATGCGTCTATCCAATTGACCAGTCGACTCGGGATGCCTCGGCTTTCATCCTTTCGAGCATTCGCTCTTTGCACACCCGTTGTATGCGCCTTTGACGTCAAAGCTGATGAGGCTGAGCACTCTGCCCGTTCTCCAGGCCTTGTAGATTCGCTCCTGCAGAAGCACGAGTGCTTGATCTGCGGACCTGCGCTTCCGTGCACCAAAGTGGTTCGCGGGCAAAAGCCCTGAGCCTCGACTGCATAGCTGATACGTTCCGCGACGACTGCCTCCAGAATCTTGCCAAGCGTCGACAGGAGAGAAATCGGTCGCCACGCCTTGGCCAGGTGTAGTCTCCTTTATCTGGTTTCCTCAGAGGGATGATCTTGGCCGTTCGCCATTGATGAGGCACGACGCCCTCTCGGAGCGATGAGCTGAAGAGCGTCCACACCCGGTGCTTGACCACGTGCCAGAGCTTCTTCCACACGATCGCAGGAAGGCCATCCTCACCAGGCGCTTTCCAGGGCTTCGCCGCCATCACCTTCTCCTCAATCTCTTGCAAGGTGAGGTCTGGCATGGCTATTTTTATCTCTGCGGACGTTCGCCCTCCGGCTCGATCCTCGTTGGCAGAGGCGGAAAGAAGGTGCTCAGGAGTTCCTCGGCTTGCTCGCCCTTGCTTTCGGTGATCGAACCGTCGGCTCTCTTCAGCGGGGCACCTTGTCATCCGTCATCTCCGTACCAGGCTTCAGATACTTGGCAGCCCTCCAGATGCTCCTTCGATGACGAAGTCATCCCAATGGGCCTTCTTTGTCTCCGCAAATTGTCGTGGTACTCCTTCGCAGCCTCCTGGCGCGCTGCTCCAGATCCGGACGCGATTGACCGGCTCTTCGCTGCGCCCTTGCTTGATTGCGCCAATACGTGTACGTCCGACGGAGTCGCGTCAGGTCCTTTGTCCACCATCGCTTCGCGTATGACGGCGGCTGGGCTCGAGGAGTCAGATCTCGAAGCGCCTTGGTGACCACCCGCATGAGCTGATCCGCCTGCGTCTGCACCCCCACAGTCCACGGAAGAGGCCGAAGCTCGTCCTCGACCCTGGTTGCGATGGCGATCCACGGCGCGTTCTTGAGCATCAGGCGCTGCGGAAAGGTACGCTCCGGCACTCGAATGTCGAAGGTCGTCTGGATCGCTCTATGGTCTGATCCGTGCTCTGTTGGATGAATCACGCAGGATGTCAACTCGTCCGCCAGTTCCGCCGATGCCAGCACCAAGTCGATGGTGCTCTCCTCGTCCGACCTTTGCCACGTTTTCGTTCCTCGGAGAAGGCTGCTAAGACCAAAGTCGTCCATCAGGTCAATGATGGGCTGGCCCTCCCCTTGTCTGCTCGCTGACACTTCATCTCCGCCCCAGAGGAGGTCGTGGCGGTTGAAGTCCCCCGCCAAAACCACAATGTTGCCCATTGGTATGGATTTATTTCGCCCGGAGGATACTTCCTATAGGGCCTAGACGCTCTGGCTATTGACGGTTCGATACACTGATGCATGACACCTCAAGCCCCACAGATCATCTTACGCTGCGCCAACCGTTCCACTGTTCGCTTCATGACAGACCTGCTTGAAGGTCAATTTCTCCAAGTGTTCAGCATCCTATTCTCAGCAACTGAAGCGTGATTTGTCGAAGTTGAAGCTGGTTGTGTTAGTAATTGATGGTGGTTGGTACGCCGATTGTACTTGACGTATTCTTCTGTTGCAATTAACTTTTTTTTTTGTTTTCGGTTCTTCCTTTGAACTTGACGTTGTGAACTGGTGTTCTCTCATGACGTTGGCCCTGATGACGAGCGGGAACCCGGTGTACCCTGTTCACCCAGGGTGCCTCCAGCCGGTTTCGAACCGACCTCTCTGCAGAGCAGAGACTCCAGACGTGTCACCACTACGCCATGGAGGCAATGTTGCCCATTAAAAGGGTAGCACAAAGCGAATCCCAATAAAGTGGGGGCGGGCACGATTAGCCTGTAGCGAGAGGCAGGAAAATTTACCGTGGACGGTACTGACTCAGCAGGGACCCGTGGCTTGTACGGACCCGTGTAGTTAGTTAACTTAGTTAACTTAACGTAATCCAGCCCCTTCCCGGTGTCGCGAAGCAGATTTGATGTTCAATTGAACATGTCACCTGAACAACAGGTGGCTTGATTTTTCGTGACAGTTATGAGCCCGGCTAACCTCCTGGAACTTCCGGTAACTGCGCACGACCACCTAGGCTAGCGCGCACCCCGACGGAGTCAGTGTTCGAGACCTGCACCTGTGTAATGCCATAGCCAGAGCCCGAGGCACTGTCGCAGAGTAGCCCGAATGGCACAAGGCAGAGAAGGCCCAGAGCTAAAGCGAGAGTGGTCTCAGGAATCCCAGGCTAGCCCGTGATCCCTGAGGGGGTGTGTCGCGAAGCAGATTTGATGTTCAATTGAACATGTCACCTGAACAACAGGTGGCTTGATTTTTCGTGACACCCGGTCACACCCCCTACCCGCTCAAAAATTTCCCACCGACGCGACCCGCACCTCACGTCACGACCAACCGAACACAACAGACGGCAATTGATTCCAAGAGACAAACAAGCAAGTCAATTCAGAACTGTCTATCTATTACACGTCCGGGCATTGTGTTCAAAATACCTGCATTTACTATACCGTGGTGGTGCACGCTGTCTTAGGACGCATAGCTCTTCTTCTCTCTGCCGTCGGGCCTGCTCCTCCTCGACAAGTTGTTGCCGTGCATCATGGTTGCCATTCCTGTCAACCTGAACGCGTAACCGTGACAGAACCCGGGTCAGATTGAATGGGGAAAGGCCTGTGGCCATGAATCCACTTCGGATGTTCGACGGGGAGAGTGCTTGTCGGCGGGCCTCGACGTATAGAGGCAGGAAGTCCTCTTTCTCGATGTGGTTGACCCCTGCGAGCATCTTCTCTTGAACCTTCCGCCCATATATCGTTTTAAGGGCGAAAAGCGCCCGACATCCAGAGGCTGTAAGAGATGTGAGGAATGAGCTGGCATTTGGAGTACCACAATGGCATTATCCGTACAGTACTTGTCAAATTCCGGCGTAACATGGCTGCCGTGCCCGTCGAGAATGAGAAGTCGACGTGTTCCAACCGTACGGCGCCGTGTAGGGGTGATAGATGAAGGTGAATTTTTTGAAGATTTTGAATGAAGGATGAATCAAATGAATTGAATTTTTTGGATCTTGATTCAAAATCTTCAAGCTCCAATTTTCGCGATTCAAGTTGGGTTCGGGCCAATTCAGGCCATTCATGAATGGTTTGAAGGGATCCCCTAAACGAAGTGAATTTGGTGCGTACCTAAGCGATCGCAAAGATACCTCAGAACCGCCAATAAGTAGTATATAGTTTTATAGCCTTCTGAGAAACCTTTCGATAATCCAGAATACTACAAAAAGAATACTACAAAAATTAACTTACATAAATACTGATCCGCATGTCCTAGGAAAATAGACCGAAAATAAGCACTTTTCAAAAGCTTTGCCGAATCCTCAAAATACGTCGGTACAGCGCGTTCGAATCCGCCATTGTACACGGCTACACACTCGTAGAGCCTCAAGCCTCCGAAGCCTCCATTGTATCTGGGCGGGGGGTTGATATCGCAGATTCATCGGCTTGGGGGGCAGGAGGTTTGGGGGTAGGAGGTTCGTTGGGAGCCTCAGCCTCGGTGGGAACTTCCGCAGGAGCAGGGGGTTGAGAAGGAAGATTCTCGTCTGAACGCAGATTAGCATATACACATACAATGAGGGTATATTCATACCATCTACCAGCTTGCCCGGAATGTGGTCTGGTCTCCAAATAATACTATTGGCAAATGGCAGGATGTCATACTCCATGGCCGCCTTGATCAACGCCTGATCGATCTTATCTTCCTGAGTATAAGAACTCCGTAAAAGCGTTAGTACTCGCGCTGTATCTGCCTTCAAAGCGTGACGGCGGATCCCGAATTCGTCTCTACAACCACTGAAGAGGCGTTCCACGTCAACTTCAGAGCCAGAGACAGAGAGAATATCACGCGCCGCCGTAGCCAAAAGTGGCCACTCGTCCTTGTGTTCTTTCCACCACTTCCGTAAGAAGTCTGGAGACTTTGCAATAGACTCGTCGAACTCTGTTCGAGGAGTTGCAAACCACCGTTCAAGCTCCGAAATAGGGATCGCCGCGCCGGCCTCCGCCTCCTTCGCCTTCTTCATTTGGATGGCTCTCCACTGCGCAATGGAGACTCCTTGAGGACGCTCAGCTGGTCTGGATTGGCTCATAGATGAGTTTGTGGCATCCAATGTTGCTAGCTCCGGCCACTCCGTTCTGAAATACTTCTTGACTTTAGCTATAATCTCAGAGTATTGATCCGGTATCATCATTTCTAGTTGGTGAGTTTTATAACGCGGATCCAGGATGTGAGCTGCGAATAGCATCATTTGATCGTCAAGCTTCTTCATATATGTAGCGTGTTTTGTTTTGCCCTTCGAGAAGGCGTTTCGAATGGACACATCAAGGTCTGAAAATTCGCCAACTCCTTCGACTACATCATCAAGGAGAGCTTCCAAATCCCAATAGATATCGAGACTTTGTGAGATCGACGGCATAACTTCGGAGACTTTCAGAGTGTGTTCTTTAAACGGCTTCAGAACCTTCCGTAGTTGGTAGAGAGCGACAATCTCTCCCGATAAGGGCAGGAGGCACTTGACTTGCGGGTGAGTATCAACGAACTCGGTATACTCTGCCTCAAGCTCAAGGAATTGGTCAATCATGTCGTAGGTCGAATTCCAGCGAGTGTCGACATCGTAGGTTGGCTTCCGATAGTGCGTGCGGGCATGCATTTGAAGTCTTGCTCTCTAGGCCCGGATCTCAACATCCACAGATTGAGGAGGCGAATTTTGGCAATCCCACCTGACTAGAGTCTCCCGGAATGGTGTAGTTGTTGCTTTTATTCTCTTCGTCCCACTTATCAAGCATCTTCTTGGCTTCCTTCGCTGTGCCTGCCTTGAGATCTTGCAAGACGCCATCACAAATGAGTGAGGTAATATGAGCTAGACAGCGGATCCAACTCTTCTTGCCGTGGAAGCGCATGCGGGGCCTCCCTATTGGACTCACCTTGTCGTCGAATTTGGTCTTGAGAGAATCGTACAGAGACTGACAGAGCGTCCCGTTATTAGCGGCGTTGTCTCCTGTAATGGCGAGAAGCTTGGGCTTGAGCCTGAGCTCCTCAAGTGTCTTCTCAACTATCTCAGCTAGTTGTTTGCCAGTGTGAGATCCTTTGAGCTCGATAAACTCAATAACCTCTCTCTCCTCAAACTCCGGCGTAATCCAGTGCGCAATAATAGCGAAAATAGGCACCCGGTTCGGTGCTGTCCAGATATCGAGGGTGAACGAGATGGTATCACAATTGTACTCAAGCTCAATCTTCAGCTTCTCCCTGCGTTCGACAAAGTCTGTGTAGATGATTGCGTAACGTTATACGACTCCTGTACACACAGGTTGTATTGTGAGCCAAGAACATCTCTTGGAAAGCAGGAGTCTCGACAACAGAGAAGGGTTGTCGGTGTTTTACAAACCACCGGCGGATAGACTCCTTTGCTGTGAGCCTTGCTTTGCCTAGGTCGACCGCTCCATGCATCTGCCTCTGTATAATCTCCTCCACCAATGGCGCGGCCGTATCCATTGATTCGAGCGTGGTGAGACTCCTTCGTAATACTGTGCGTTTTTAAATGGTCTCCCATGCCAGAGGTAACCCCTCGGCGGTTCGATTCAAGGACCTGGAATACCTTCCGAAGAGTAGAGGGATTTTGAAGGCATTCTATACAAGTCCACCGGAACTCTTGGAAGATCTTCGGTCCATCCCTGTACTCCGAGTAAAAGCTTCTGTCTATAGCTTCCTCTGCATGTACCAATAAACGTGGCTGTTCTTGTCTCTCTTCTTGCGAACATGCTTCTGTTTGTTGTCGGCCCACTTCTTGATAAGTCCGGCTTTCTCTGCGAGCGTCATATGGCTATTGTCCAATGGCGGCTCCGGTGTATCCGTGTCGGGCATGTCATCATCTGACTCACAGTCAGGATGGCCCGGGGGCGCGCAGACAATTGTATCTTCGCCAGTTGAAAGAGGAGACGAAGGAGCCGGAGTTGTGCTACGATCAGGGCGCGCGCGGGGTTCTGAGGTTGAATTGAGGACGCTCAATGCTGGCATAATTCTGCATTGGCAATTTACGCCGGGTCCTAGGGGCGAAGAAGTTCGCTGCGGCATATGTTTTTGATTCGGCAGGGGCCATACTATCTTATGTATCACGTTATAATTAGCTATCCACTCGTAAAGTAATTAAATAAGGAGGGGTAGGTTGGAGTTTCACCTGATCTTGGCTCAAGGGCTCGAGAATGGGCGCGACACAGGTAGTCGGAACGACACCAAATAACCCACAATAAAATGTAAGGGATTCGAGGTTGAACGGGCAGGATAGGTCGTCGGGCAGGACGTTGATTCGGGGGCCGACCCGAAGCTGCTGTCGGAAATAGCGAGGCAGGAATTAGGCGAGGTCGTCGCAAAATAATGCGGCAGTTGTCGCGAAGACCGTTGCGCATGCAGGCAAAAAGTGGGAAGGGCTTGACGACCGTGTCTTGCCGACAGCAGTAGAATTAATAAGTGGTCGACTGAGCACGAATAACGCGTCGAAACGCGGCTAGTTGGCACAATATATCCTTATCATGCAGGTGTTTCGGTACTTTTTGATCGGGCTAATTTGTGTGGACAAGCAGGTAGCAGTCATATTGGGCTCGAGGAGTAGATAAGTCCCTAACAGCCTCTAAATCGCGAGATGACGCGATTCGTGTCACCCAATTGTTCGCGCAATATTGAGATGTTGAGGACCTGAACGCGTTTTTGAATCAGCTTGCCGGAGGCTGTTTAAGGGTATAAGTCCTGTATTATATTTCAAAATATGGACTGCCGAGCTTAGTATGTGCTTGAAATGTAGTTTGCAACTAGAAAATGACTGATCTATTGATTGCCTTCAGGATGATGTGGCATTTATTGAGCAAATGATAAGCACAGATATCGAGAGTTATACCACCCGAACGAGAAAATCCAGAACATTCGAGTGGCACTACATTTAAATGGTGTGCATTATAAAAAGGCACTGTTCATGACCTTTATGGTGTTTTTGATACTCCGTATAGGGTGGCAAGATTGCTGAAACGGTGGGTGTTAGGGTCTTTATACCAACATATATGGACACCCTAACTGTTACGGCCAGGCACATACGAGCCTTGACGGCTATAAAGATGTATTGGCACTATGAACGAAGACTCAAAGCTAAGGAGCAAGAAAGGAAGACTAGACTACACGACCGAGCGGGCCCATATAGACACGAGGTCGCGCGTGGGCACGTGATGCTGCTTGGGCACGTGACACTGGTGAGGTGCTGCGCTGGCGGCTCTACGCTGGCGCCCAGGGTCGTGACACTAACTACCCCACTCCCAATCCACTGGGATTTTTAAGCGAAGCTGTAAATTGTGCTACAAAGTGACGAAGTACACGCAGTGCGCAATTCAGCGGAGCTTACACAGATATTTACAGCTTTGCTTACTCCTGTGACGGCGTATTCGGCGGCAACCCAGGTATTTTACCAGTGGCAGCTGCGAAGCGGGGTTATCCTTTTTTTTTCACCGTATATTTCGACCATATCGCCATTCATTCAAGATTTTGATGAATGAATTGAATGAAGACTCCTGATTTTTGATTCATCGAATTTGAAGACCTTACCCGATTCGGCTTCATTCAATTCAAGGGTCCCGAGGCCGATTCGACTTCAAAATCTTCAAATATCAGCCCTAGCGCCGTGTGTATGGGTCGAAAACTGCCTTTAACCAATGCAATCCAAGGTCGTCGGAAGTCCAACCTTTGTTGCTCACGGCAATCTGCCAGTCCTTGGGCACACCTGCTTTGTACCAGCTTGCTTTGTGCACCTTGCCCTGGAAGATGACCATCGCCGGCAAAGCCCAACCTTGGCAATTGATAGACTCAATCACCGTAACCCATTCTCGATTTCCTGGCTGCATGACCATAGGCCGACCTCGCCGGTCAGACCGAGTAAGGACTCTTGCCGTCGCAATGACTCCCATTTGAAACCCCGTCTCATCGAAGTTGTAGACATCCTCGTCAAGAATCCCCCATTTCTGCTTCGCCATTGCCACTCGATCGTACCATTCTTGGATCGTCTTCGGATCTTCGCATCTGGCACGTTGGTAATCATATCGACGAGAGTATTTCGCCTTGATTTCGTCGTGGTGGCCAACGAACTTCCGCACCCAATCTCGCCGACAGTTTCTTGGCCGCGCTCAGAGAGCAACAAGTTGGCCGGCCATGCGGCGAGTGTAGACCACTGTCAGCGGCATCCCTCGCTCGTCCATCGGCATGACCCATTGTACGAGGGCAGTCTCTTCCGTCGTCGTCAACTTCCGGTTGTTCATCTGCGCGTCGCGTCGGGAGCGGGCACCACGCAGTCGACCAGATACTGTCGACTGAGGGACATCATATGCCGTCGTGGCCTTGTGGGTACTGTCGAATTGGCCTTGCTGATAGGCCTTGACGGCGAGCAGGACGCGTGGAATCGATTGGTCTCTAATTTCCGTCATCGTGCTCGGCGCCATGGAGTGCGGGTCGCGTTGGTGGGGAATTTTGAGCGGGTAGGGGGTGTGACCGGGAAGGGGGTGGATTACGTTATTTGCTCCTGGCCTGAGCACTGCTGAGGTAAGCACGAGGTCGCACGGGCACGTCATGCTGCTTGTGCACGTGACACTGGTGAGGCTCTGCGTTACCTCAGCAGTGCTCAGGCCATTTCAAGCGGAGTCTAACCGTTTTAGGTCAAAGTCACGTTACTTGGACTACTCCTCCAGTAAAAGGCCTGAGGACCCTGTCACATGCGCACACTGACTATTCGATAATTTATTGTCACGAAAATCAAGCCACCTGTTGTTCAGGTGACATGTTCAATTGAACATTAAATCTGCTTCGCGACATTTATATGTGTTTTTCGCGATGCTGGCAAAATCGCATTTTCTCATATCCTTCAACAAATCACATCAAAGCACATTAGATCTGTCCTTAATCTCACTGGGCTGTGCATAAAAGCACCCTATATCTCTCTATCCAGCTTTTTTGGTGCCTCCATCCTTTCGTCCTGTGGAAAACCCCGATATGTGATGAGCCGGAGCGCGTCAAAATCGCCATTGCCCTTTCGGGGTAGTTAAATAACCACTTCCTCCCACTAATCTGCCACCCCAAAGTGGGTCAATGTGGCGCACCTTTGAGGTAAAGGTGGCGTAACGCCAAAACCTCCTTGGCACACAAGGCACGCCGCGCAACATCACACAGTCAGCCGTAAGTGAAGCTTTTCGCGATATCTTAACATGGCCTTAATCGGTTGCAACGCCGTTATCACCGCCGCGCCGCCCCGTCACGACCGTGCCACCCACGTCACCGTACCACTTGCCGCTATGGAGTCCATGAGCACTGTGTTCTCTACCACCTACGAGTCCGAGGCCGAGGCTACTCGTGCCTGCAAGACCGTAGGCTGGCAGATCGGCTTTGGCCTTAGGCGCCGGAATGCGAAGCCTTCGGCTCGTGCGCCGACCTATGTGTTCTGTGACTTTGATACGATGGAGCGGCTTGATGAGGCTAACGCCCTTGCGCTAAGGGAGATGGCGAAGGAATGCCCTTTATAGCCCTTGTAGTTATAGTGCTCTTGAATTGACGATGCGGGTCTAATGACTCCTAGAAAAGTGGCATTTCTATGTGTTCTATGCATCGCGGCCGGCTTCACTTGCGTTGTGTGCCTTGGGCATTGTGCCTTGGGTCTCGTGTGTGCACTGGGGCCGGCCGGACGTTGTGTGCGGCGATGCGCCACATTGACCCACTTTGGGGTGGCAGATTAGTGGGAGGAGGTGGTTATTTAACTACCCCCTTCCGACCCGTGCATGCTCTTAGCAACAAGGGAAAGATCTCGGCACATGTTTCGGAGACTTTACTTCTACGTAGTACGAGTGAACAGCACGAAGTTCGTTTGATGCGCTGATGCCTTGTCAGATTCCAGGGGAGGACATGGCGCAGAGTCGTCAGTGATGGCGGCGTAAACGACCATATCTGGCTGTCTTGCGACTGGAGCAGCCCATGACGGCTTGCACCCGCTTATCGGCAAGCTTTGTGCGGTGTGTGAGAGGGGTGGAGCTACGACAGGAACTGGGGAATATCATGGGCAATATCAAGCCAGAAGCGAACGAGGGGACTCGGTCCCAGTGCAGAGAGGTTCTTGTATGTAAGGTATGTGGGAAGACGGCGGGGGTCAAGAAATGCGCGAGATGCCTGGCTGTGGGATACTGTAGTACCGATCACCAAAAGAGTGACTGGAAGGTCCATAGACAGTCTCGACAGTTCCTTCCTGAGTCCGCTCAACATCTGTCAATGGGACCAACCGACGAGGCGCGACTCGACTTACCGGCTCCACGAGTACAAGCCTTGGACGAGCCGATCTACGTGTCCTCCGATGCGGAGTCCGAAGTAAGCGAAGGAGCCGGACAAGATAGTGTTGGCAATGGCTCTGTATAGCCGAGATCTGATTCCGATGTATTCTGACGATCCCGTATACTGAGTTGGGAGAAAGTCCATCTTTCTCGCCAATGGAAGGGTCGAGCCAGCCTGGCGAGTCTCGTTCGACCTACCAACCCCTGGCAAACCAGTCCAACGAGTTTTGTCCTACCAGCCTCCACAACCGTCGAAGATTCCGAGGACGACCATGGCAACCAGCGCTCCTAATAGTGTGGACCATTAAGAGGACTATTAGTGCACACTGTGGTTTACACTATTAGTGCCGCACTATTAGTGTAGTGTGCGTTTCACACCACACTGGTGGTTCAGTGTAGCTTGCCCAAACTGAACGGGTAGTTCAGTGCAAGGGTCCAGACTAATAGTTGCACTATTAGTGCGCCCCATGATTACCAGCAACCCGGATTTTACTACCTTGAATGTTGCACTCAGGATACGTACCATTTGTACTTGACACATGACGGATCCTGTAACAGGACTATTTCCCTTTGCTTAAGCCACTACCCCTTTTCTTATGCACATCTGCAATCTGTCCTCATTAGATTATGCGTCTTTCCTTGAACTCTTCTACTCTTTGATCATAAATAGGGTTCTTGCTCACTCCTTCTTAGATAGAAGAGACGAACCTCAATTTACATGTTGACCCTTACCTTTCCAAATTACTTCCTGCGAGAGTTATGAGCCCGGTTGGCTCTTAGCTGTGCCATCGGATTCTCTTGCACCTTTTGCATAGCCCGTATCCGCGAAACAGGATCAGAGCACGTGCCCCTTTGGAGACCTGTAGGTAAAGACGTACCACAGCAACCTCACCCATTTCGACGACCATCAAACGAACACGATGGAGTCAACCAAGGAAGAGTCAATCGGTTCGTCCCGGGTCAAGCTTAACGGCCCGTCAGACTGGAAACAGTGGATAAGCATTATCCAGAAATTTGCCATTGCGCACGGAATCTGGGACTTTGTCGATCCAAGTCGACCACTCAATCCGGCTCCACGGGAACCACGGAGACCGGAACCATCAGATCTGCAGGATGAGGCGACACTCGTAACCCTCAATCCTGACAAGATCAAAACCTTCGAACTTCTGACTTCCCAGTATCGACATGAGTACTCTATCTTCAAGGCACGACAAAAGGCGCTAGCAAGCCTGCAGGAACACATCGTCAGGACCTGTGGGAACTACTACAACACCATTGCCTACGAACATGACGTTGCAAAGGAACTTAAAGTCCTCAAACAGAGGATCCAGCCCACCAGCTGGGCACAAGAACAAGATGTCCTTGACAGATTTCATTCCACATTGAAGTCACCCAACAGGACCAAGATTTCGGATTGGGTCACGAAGTGGCACCAAGTCCTTACCGAAGCCCAACAGCTCGGAATTCCAGATGCCCAAGGACTCAGACCGACTCGGTTGTTCTTGAAGGCAGTTTCGGGAGTAAATCCCACGTTTTCTCATTACTGGCTCAACAAGATGGAGGACGAAGCTCGTGGCATCGACCCCCTCTGGCAAGGTCGATTCCCAGACGGCATTGAGATCAGTACCATTTTCGAGAGGGCACATTCCCTCACGTCTGACCAGAAGGGAGGAAAAGGCGGAAACACGTTTGCCACTTGGCAGCAGACTTGCAAATAGATAAATCAAATCAAATCCGGGGTCCAATTTGATTTGATTTGGATAGCAAAATCATGGATCTGATTTGATTTGATTTGATTTGAATCGATTTGGATCTCATTTGGATATCTGGATAGCCCCACTTTTTTCCCACGACAAAATACATTGAGCCGCTCCTATAAGGTCCGCTTTGATAAGGTCCGCTTTGAGGCGGCCTCTCTGAGCTGCGGCCATCTGTCCGGCAAGGCTAAATATTCTCTCCGGCTCTGAAGACATCGCCGGAATGGAAAAGAGGTCGATTGCCATTCGCGACAGGCGTGGATATTGGCGTCTGCGGAGAAGCCAGTACTGGATGGGATTGTCCACAAGACAATCGCCCGGATCGGTACTGCCCACCCATTCTGCGTACTCGTCACGCATGGAGGACGGTGAGGGCGCAGGTTGGGCGCCAAGTTTCCTAATTGAGGTCATGAAGTCATCTAGGTCCGTTGTCTTCCTTGCAGCTGTGGGCTCCTCGGGTATCGTATCTTGCTCGACCGCGAGGGTTCGGTACTCCTCCCATATGCGCCATTGCAGCAGTCAAGTGCAGAGCTGTCCCATTTTGGCCATCGGCTACAAATATCTCCCCCCGTAATATGGCAGACGCACCCAAAGATATATTTCACGATCAAACGTGTCAGGTAAAACACAAAAGAAAGCTTGGTGACACGGCCTGGAAAAGCAACTGCCCGTAATTAGCGACCACTCTAGGCCAGGCAGGGCTGGCTCCCCAAAACTATTGGCCCAGGTCGCCATTGTGGGGCGTATCCAAATAATCAGATATGTGGACAGGCTCTTCACTGCAGTGAGGTTATTCGAACTGGTTCAATTGGTTATATCTTGTGTAACTAGGGAAACGTGTCCCATACAAACTGTGTGCAAAGACCTTCCTCCCTGTGTCTCACCTCTTACTCGCACGTGACTAGCGCGGTCGATTAGTTATACGTGCGCGATCGGTGCCTAGTGCACAGGTGGATCCAACACTGGAACCTCTTTCTAAATCGATGATCGCGCACTAATCAATCCACCAAAACACACCAAACACAGCGAATTAAGATGAGATAGGAAAACACGAACAAGAACACCAACAAACTCCTACCACGATGCATCACTATGTTGGATAGTGTGCTCTGACTGTAGCTCTCCTCCCCACACTGGGTGTGTTCTGCCACACGCCATCATGGGCCGCATTTCGAGCGCCGGATGCGCTAGCTGATTCCATCGGTCCCACGTTGAATATGGACACGAGGATCTCCTCGTTAATGTGAATGGAATAAAAGAACGACGGTAAAGCAGAAGAAGGAACGAAAAACCGATTAAATCTCGTCGAGAATTGTTGTGTTATTGCGATGAACGAATCCTTCCACCCTCACGTTTAGCTGATTGTCGCTAATAAACTGCGTGAGGGCGCTGTTTGATGATGTCATAGCATCGGCAGGGTTATCTGCGCCGTTGACCCAACGGATTTCCGCAATATCCCTTGATTCATATGCCTGCCTCAGCGCCATGATATCTATCATGAGTCGCTTCTCTGTTGTGGTGCCAAGTTTGACGAGGCACTCATAGAGGCTATATGAATCTGTGCAAATGACGAGCGGATTTGCTTCAGATCAAGGCGTTGTGCGATCGTATTGACCGTTTGCTTGATCACAAATGCGAGATCGAAGCCCGATGTCAATCCATAGATCTCTGATGCAAGAACGCTTCGAGTAACGCGCTTGCATTTAGTTGAGCTCCAATGAAGAATGTTTCCGCGGATGGAAAATGAATCGGTTGATTGCGCGGTCTCATTGGCGATGATAATCACAAAGCCGATTTGAGAGCTTAAATCCTTATTGTTGGCGAATGATCCATCGGTGAACACAAAGATCTTCGCGCTCGAGATCGATGGGTATGTAACATAGGCCACGGTCGGGATTGTTGATCTGCCATTCAATCCGCTTGTTCAAAGCCTTGAAGTCGGTATTAACGGGCTCTTGGGCTTGTGCCGCAACGGAACAATCGTATGTTGCTTCGGGTTGGCAAATCGAAGCGATATATGCCCCCGCGCGTTGAGCAGCATAATCCTGATGCCTACTTGATGCCTGAAGATTGATCTCCTCGAGGTTTTGGGCTTGGCCCTTCTGCCTGACGATGACACAGCCATTTTGTATGGTCAGGCGGCTGCCGTTAAAGTCGCAGATGGAACCTTCTTGAGAATCTCTTTGGCTTGGCCTTAAAGCAGAGTTCTTTCTCCTCGATCTTGAGAAATGCATCTGTGCCAACAATGAATGTGTCATCCGTTTGCAAGGCCGCGATGCCAAACAGGTCCTTGTCGGCGATGTTGTTTGCCGTGATCAGAAGGCACGGGTCAAACGAAGAGGTTTCCATATTAAGCTTGCGGCAGTGATGGTCGTGATATGTGTTGAACCAGTGGGCTCCTGCCTCTGCGATGCCATATAGCGGCTTCACGATTCGCAGGATTGTTCCTCTGGATATCTTCTTTGAGTTCTTGAGGAAGGGCTGCAAGGATGACACGGGCCAGCTTGGTCTGGGATTGTGTGTATGCCATCGTGATGTCTCTGATCATGATGAACATATCCCGTGTGCAGAGAAACGGTGCTAAGGCCAAGGCCACGCGTTGTGCGGGCCGGCTGATGGTAGGGGCTTGTGTGAGGATCCCACGTTTCCCATCATCATTGTATCCTTGCACAACGAGGCGTGATTTCTCGTATGGCGTTGCAGTATTTCTTCCTTAACCTCTCTGACCATTCGTGATTTGAAGACACGATATCCACCATGTTTATTCGCATCGAATTCTTCGGGTACAATGACCCCAGCGGCGAGGAGGTTCGTGAGCTCGAGTGTGTCGGAAGCTTCAAATGGGAAACCGGTGCTTGTGATCTTTCCTTCAGCTCGTAGCCGCTTGGCTAGGCCGAGATGTTCCATTTCTTTTCGAACAAGAAACGCATTAGCTTCATGATGAACGATAAATTGAACGGGTGAGCAAACAATAGTGGATTCTGATGTGCCATTTTGTGCAGCATCCTTCCTAGGTCGGCCACGCCTGCGCGGCCTCTTTGGCTCAGGGTATTCGAAAGGTTTGGGTTGGTCTTCTGTGGTAGGAAGAGGAAGAGGTTGTTGAGTTGTGGGTGGAAGGGGAAGAGGGTTTTGAAGAGGATGTTGTTGATCGGATTGTGTTGAGGGAAGGAGTGATTGTTGTGTTGATGGGTCTGTGCGGCTAGGGCTAGGGTCGGGTTGCAACTGAGGAAGGAGCGATTCCGGGTGACGATAGTACGGTTGGACGCATGTACTGCGAAATTTCGCTGGTCCGTTGTCCAGGTCAACTGCGATTTCCGTATCCGTCACCTCGAGCACTTTATATGGGCCTTGCCATCCGTGCTTCTCGCGAAATACGCGAACTTCGCTTCGCCTAGGGGCAGGCGCAACGCTGTATCAGGCCCATTACGCGTATTTAACGCGGTCTGAACCTTCCTCTGGGCGTTGATCTTCCTCAGCTCTGACATCGTTCGCCACACCGCCTTAGCTCTTGCCATTGCGGAAGGTGTAGGCGGCGAATCCATCGTCATTCGAGGCAGAGCACCGAAGACGAGGAGGGTTGGAACGAGGCCATCCGGACCGGCTGTGTCGTTGACAGCCTTGAAAGCCATTTGAAGGACTTGATCAGGGCTCACGGTATCCTTCAGCTCTGCCTTTAATATATCATATGCTCTTCGGACGGGCACATGATACTTCTCAACCTTCCCAACAGCCCAATGTGCTTCCACAGGCACCTGATGACACGTTATTCCCATCAATTTCGCTTCTGCTTGGAACTCGGCAGCAGCGAAATTCGTGCCTGCGTCATGAGTGATCACATCGGGTGGTCCAAGGTATGTATCCATCCAACATTGTTTCAACGCGAGCCACGTTTCCTTGGCCGTCATGTTGGATAGGAATCTCCTGCCTGATAGGCAGTGGCTTGATCAACAACATGGAGGACTGGTCTGCCACCCAATGTCATGACATCAACGATGACTTCGTAATTGAAGTCACAATCATCCTTCAAGCTGAACTTGAACCTTCGTGGCGGGTCGGATTTCATCTGACAGTAGTGGCAGAACTTCTTGATCATTTCCAGAGCTTCGATTTCCACATCATGGCCAGCCGAATTCAGCAGCTTGTGCAGCCGATACACGGATGGATGACCAAAACGCGTGTGGAGGCGCCGCAATTCAGCCTCCGTGAGATATGCCACTGATGCCTCTTGTTTCCGCAAGAAGAACCACGCGTGACCCCATCTTCGAATCACTGGAACGCTCACACCATTGCCAACGAGCTCGTTCGTGACGTTATTTAAATATACGCCGAGCCGATCCATATCAGCTAGGCATAGGAGGAATGGCGTTGGCACGTTGACTATATGAAAATCAACCCTCCCACTGGTGTGTTCAAGGTGATCACGCCAAGTGGTGTTTCCAATCTTCCTGCACCAAATCTAACTGGTTCGGGCTTGCGATCATCACGGAATTGGACTGGGGGCATCTCTCGTTGGAGAGCACGCAGTTGTTCGATTCCTCCCGTCGATATGCATGCCGCACCTGTGTCCGGCATGATTCCTTGGAACGAGTCTTGAGAGTAACGATCTAGTATGAATTGTGTGGGTTCGTCACTGTTGAATAACTTGATGCCTACTGAGAGATCCGATGATGGAAAGCTTCGTTGGACAGAAAGGTCGCAGCAGCGTAGAACGATTCATAAGGGTCAGAGGAGTCAGAATCATCAGATTCCTCGGTGCTCGAGTCATCCTGATCCTGTGATTCCTTCATAGTCAGCCAAGAACATAGCATACGAACGAGATTGACCGTGGAAGCCTCTCTCTCGTAGATACTTCTCTTTGGCTGCTTTATCTCGTTTTCAGGATGTCTCGTTGAGAAACAATCTTCCTTGCCGCAAACGTAGCATTTCTTCTTCCAATTTGGCTGACGCCTTTGTGATTGACCTCTTGTTCCGCCGGAATTTCGCTGAAATTTGCGATCCACGAAGTGCTGATCGTGTCCTCTATCCAGGTCTTGGGGATATTGGCCACTGGGTTGTTCAGATCGTTCATCTTGCATGGCAGATAGCGATGATCGAAGCTGTGATGCCAACCCCTCAAATGTAGGTGCGGGAGAGTATATCGCGAGTCGGAATTCAGGCACACCACGGCACGCCCTGAGCGTTGCATCGATCAGGCCACCTTCGCCGCCAGACTTATCCCCGAGTGCTCTCCTACAGAGCCGCAATTTCGTAAGAAGGGCCTGGAGGACCTCGTCAGATGACTTACCGGGCATCTCAGCCCGAAGTCGGCTGAAGGTGAGGGTGCTCCAGTGGGTATGATACATCTTCTGGTTGATTTCGGTGTCAAAGTGCTCTTTCATCTTCTGATACATCTCAGCGAAGGTTAAATCAGTGCTGATTTCGTAGAAAGAAGGACTGAGCTTGGCCAGAATCGAAGGAAAACACCATGGAATTTAGACGGAGGAATGTTTGCTTGACGGCACACGCTCATGAATTTCCGGATCTTGTCATCGAAGATATCGTATGGTTCGCCGGTATAGGCTAGTTTCTTGTCCCATATCTTAATGAATCTAATCGTGAGATCGGCCTCAACTTCCTCGTTCTCGAATCGAACAGGTGGAATGCTCGTGTATGCATCTCGGAAGTTGGTAGTCCGTACGGGGAGCGTCTGCTGATACCGAGGGGATTCGCGCCATTGATGCTGAGGCTCTTGCTGAGCGGGTTGATGGGTCTCAATGATATGAGGGGATTCCGGTTCTGCCGGTCGGGTAATAGTTGGCTGCTGGATTACTATCGGTGCCGGTGACGATATAGCCGCTTTAACAGTTCCTTGGAGCAGCTTCTGTTTCACCTTATATGCCACGGTGTTTTCAGCAACCTCTTGACCAAGCAACTCGTTCTCATCCCATTCAGGAAGTTCGTTACTTGTTAGAAGGCCACATAAAGCTCGAGAGATGCTAGAGTTGGCCTTGCCCATATAGATCCCCCTAATTCTGAGAAGCGTCCGGAGTCTTGATCTAAGGCGTGGGTTGATTAGTTCGAAGTCATCATAGCTCCATCCCGTGAAGTCGTTATACAGATCCCCAAGCAGGGCAATTCCGTGGTTACGTTTATCCACCGTGTATGTTGCCACACAGCCTAAGAAGAAGCTGTTGCGGTGGACAAGGAGGAGCTCTGGGTGATAGGTTCGTTGAGGAAATCCGCGTCGAAATGCCTGATCGGGAGTGAAGGAGCTCCACGATCGTCAGGTTCCGTTCAACGAGTTGCCTGTCTTCGAGAGACACGTTGGCCGGGGTATCCTGGGCTGTTGCCGGGGCTAGTGCGGCAGATGAATTGTCAGACATATTGACAGGCTGTGTGCTGAGAAACAGGGCACAGGGTGTCAATGAGGTTATCAATGTGCGATAGGGCACGCCTAAGGGTCGCTGATGACAGCAAAGCTTAGGCACGGTTGGATAACTAGAGTGGGCTCTGATGCAGAGTCTTCGTAGCAATCCGCGCGTTGTAGCAACTATCCTACCGTCAGGGAGCCTGCTTTGCAGAGCGTGACGATAGGTTAGCTCTCTTCCGTCTTGCTGTTCTGTGTCACCTTTGCCGGGCGACACTGATCAGTGTGGACAGGCTCTTCACTGCAGTGAGGTTATTCGAACTGGTTCAATTGGTTATATCTTGTGTAACTAGGGAAACGTGTCCCATACAAACTGTGTGCAAAGACCTTCCTCCCTGTGTCTCACCTCTTACTCGCACGTGACTAGCGCGGTCGATTAGTTATACGTGCGCGATCGGTGCCTAGTGCACAGGTGGATCCAACAAGATATCCAAATAAATTTGGGTGTTGCGATTTGATTTGATTTGATTCAGCGCAGGGGCAATTTGATTTGATTTGATTTGGATAAATTTGATTTGATTTGATTTGATTTGATTATGATTTATCTATTTGCAAGTCTGCTTGGCAGCAAGAGCGATCCGACCAAACGAATCCTCAACGGCCTTCTAATAACGACTCGACGAATTCCTCGTCAACCCGGCCTGAAAGGCCACCCTGCGTGTGTGGACTGAAACACTACTTCTCAGATTGTTGGTACTACAACGAGGAAATCCGCCCAGCCTCATGGATACCAGATCCGGAGATTGAGGCAAAGAAAAATGACCGACTTGAGAAGAGACCACACCTCAAGGAGAAAGTCGAGCAGTCTATCAAGCAAGCTCGCGATAAACGAGAGGCTAGGAACCAATCTAGCACTCGAAACGACACTCCGAGAACGGGTGAACCGTCAGCCGCTGCTGCGGTCACCGTAAGCTCACCTCCACCGGCAGCCGCATCCACATCATACGTCTACCCACTTCGAGACTCTGTTTTGCTCGATTCAGCATCAGACGTCCACGTAATCCGGGATCGGCACCGTTTCATTGACTATCAACCCGCAGAGGAAGGAGAAGGGCTTTTTCGGGAATGATTCTTGCCTATCCTTGGTCGAGGCACCGTCATCATCAATGTCAGCTACAATCGAACTTTCCAACTCAACCAAGCCTTACACGTCCCGTCTTTCCACACCAACGTTGCATCAGCCGATCGATTCCGCAAGGCAGGCATCGATTGGACCCTTATGACAGGAATTGTGTCAAAGGATGGCTGGGAGATATGTAGGACGACCCCGATGCACGGACAAAATGTCCTCGAATTCACGCCAATCCCCCCTTCTCTCCCGCCTGCTATTGCCGCAATGACCTCAAAGGATCCTAAACCTTCTGATCCACAAGAGGCGCAACTCTGGCACCGACGTTTGGGTCACTTGAACCCTACTGCGTTGGAACACCTCGTCGAAGCCACCACAGGCTGTAAGATCAAAGGCCCGGCAACTATCGACTGTGAGGTATGCTCCCTCGCAAAAGCGAAAAAACAAGTTTCACGAAGACCGTCCAAGGCAACTTCTTCAAGGCCTTTCTGGCGGATCTACATTGACCTCTTCAGCATGCACCAAAGCTACAACGGCAAGAAGGTAGCATTGTTACTCAAAGATGACTTTTCTGGGCTCATTTTGCTACGCACTTCCAAACAGTCAACAGGAGACCCTTCTTTCAACACTTTCACGTTTTTCTTCGTACATTTGGCGCCAATGGAGGCTCCAAGCATGCGTCGTTCACCGGGATAACGACCGCGGACTCCAGTCGGGGTACGTTACATGGATAGATGATGAGGGCATTGAGGATGAACCCACTGCTCCTCACACACCGGCACAGAACGGCCCCGCCGAGCGTTCTGGGGGGGTGATAGGCACATGGGCTAGGAACATGCACGTCGAGGCAAATCTCGATGATGATATGTGGCCTGAGACCTGGACCGCCGCCACCTATCTACACAACCGGTCACCTCAACTTCGCGAGAACTGGAAGACTCCCTTCCAAAGGCTACACGAGTGGCTTAGGGACAACAACCGAGACACCGGTTACTCAGCGAATCCTTTACCCGACATCACTCACCTGAAGGCATATGGCTGCAAAGCCTATCCTTTAACTACCACTGCACTTCAAGGTACTCAGAAGAGAGACCTTAAGACTCAACCACACGCCGAGATTGGTTATTTGGTGGGGTACGATTCCCACAATATTTACCGCATTTGGATTCCTTCACGTTCGGAAGTCCGCCGAGTTCGTGATGTCACTTTCGATGAATCACAGGTCTACCAGAAATCTGCTGGAGACACTCCCCTGGTCATCAAAGAACCAGAAAACCCGTTTCCAGAGCACATCGACTCTGAGTCAGAGGATGAGGAACCCAACGATCGGATGGTTTCTCAATCCGCCCCTGAAAACGAGTGCGCTTCCAAGACGAGGTAGCACAACTGCTTACCCCTACGGAAACCCCAGAGCCACTTGACACTATATTTGTCGCTGGCCCGGAGGACCCGCCTCCGAACCCCGAGCCTGAGCCAAATCAAGTGGACAAGACTCCTCAAGAGCCAACTAGACGCTCAGCCCGAATTGAAGCGAGGAAACAGTCTCATCCCTCAGCTGCTTTTCACGCTGCATTCCGAGCAGCCAGGGAGGAACGACTCCACAAGCGGAGTCTTCCCCCTGAACCACGATCCTGGAGAGAACTCGACTCTCACCCCTTCGGAGACCAGTTCAAACTTGCTGGCAAAACAGAAGTTGATGCACTCTTTTCCCGAGGCACCTTCAAACCCGTTCGGCGCGATCAGATGGATCCGACCGCTGGAAGACCTCTTCCCTCACTTGGGCATTAAAGTACAAATTCAACAAGCACGGAGCCCTGCCCAAGTTCAAGCCCCGCCTCTGCGTCCGCGGAGACTTACAGGAAACCAACGGCAGAGACATATGCAGCGACGCTTGCAGCGCGCAACTTCCGCATTATGATGGCCCTAATGTGCAAGTTTGACCTAGAATCACGGCACCTTGACGCTGTGAACGCTTTACCAATGCCGAGTTAGACGAACTCGTCTATGTCGAATTCCCCGATGGATTCAAACGCTTTGGCTGGGTTCTCAAGCTTCTCCGAGCCCTGTATGGTCTACGAAGATCACCCTTGCTCTGGCAGAAAGAACTCACGACCACCTTTGCAGAACTAGGCCTCGAGACCTGTTCTGATGAACCGTGCATCCAGATGAATGACTGGTGCATCATTTTCTTCTTTGTGGATGACATCTCGATTCTTTATCGGCAAAAGAACGAGGACAATGTCAACCATCTGATCACACGACTCAAACGACACTACGAACTCACCGATCAAGGTGAAGTGTCTTGGTTTCTTGGGATCCGAGTCATTCGGGACCGAGATGCCCGCAAGGTTTGGCTTTGCCAAGATTCCTACATCGACAAGATTGCAACCCAATACGGAATCACCAAGAAAAGCTCCTTTCGAGGCAACCCGCTGCCCGGAAATTCCCTTCAACGTCACGACGAACAGGCCTCTCCTGAAAGCGTGAACTTGTTTCAACAGAAAACCGGATCGATCAACTTCGTTGCGATCTCAACCCGACCCGATGTTTCCTTTGGTGTTAGCAAACTTGCTGAACACATGATGAACCCGTCTTCCAAGCACCATGAAGTCATGGATCAGATGCTTGAGTATCTATTTGCTACGAGATTCTTCGCGCTTGAGTTCTCGGGAGACTCCAACGAGCTCCACCTCCTCACCAAGCCAAAAGAAATCCGTATTGCTACCGATGCTGCTTTTGCAGACAATCCCGACTCGAGGAAATCCTCCCAAGGATGCCTCATCACTCTCTTCAACGGTCCCATTTGGTGGAATGCCACAAAGCAAGCCACAGTCACAACTTCCTCGACTGAGGCAGAGCTCCTCGCCTTCACTCACACTGCCAAGGAAACTCTCAGCCTCCTTCGACTCTTCAAGCAAATCGATCTTCAGCTTGACAACGACCCTATCATTGAGTGTGACAACACGCAAACGATCAGGCTTATCACAGCTGACGTTCCCCGTGTCAGAACCGCGCTTAAGCACGTTGATATTCACAACGCCTGGGCAAGGCAAACGTTCCAAGAAGGCCACTTTGAGGTTGAGTACGTCCCAACAAACCAAATGATCGCGGATGGTCTCACCAAAGCACTGCCTGGCCAAGCCTTCAAGGCCTTTGTTCAGCAACTTGGTCTTATTGACATTTCCCCACGAATTCACCACGTTCCCTCCGACGACGAGGAGTGATATCACAGTTTGAGGGATCTTCCCTCAGACTGGGGGGGTGTGTTGCACTCAGGATACGTACCATTTGTACTTGACACATGACGGATCCTGTAACAGGACTATTTCCTTTGCTTAAGCCACTACCCTTTCTTATGCACATCTGCAATCTGTCCTCATTAGATTATGCGTCTTTCCTTGAACTCTTCTACTCTCTTTGATCATAAATAGGGTTCTTGCTCACTCCTTCTTAGATAGAAGAGACGAACCTCAATTTACATGTTGACCCTTACCTTTCCAAATTACTTCCCTGCGAGATTGAAATAGGGTTTCGGATTGATTTCCAACGAAAAACATGTATAACCTGTAAGACGAAGTGCGTAAAATACTTCGAACACCCGTTAAGTTGCCAAGGCAAGGGGCTTAACGGCTGAATATCCAGCCCGAAGGGTGAACATCGTATTCCTGCACAACTTTAGGGGACCCCTAGAACCCCTTGCCTGCGGCGGCCATCCAGCTGTTTAAACCGCTCCTGACTGGCCCAATCTAACTATATACCCTATATCGAACCTCCCCCTTCCCTGTAGCTTATAGGAAGACGTCGTTTAGTCAAGGTAGAGTGGTGGATACGGTGCATCGCTCAGCTGTTGACCCTGACGCCGTTGTTGGTCAGCGAGGCGCATCTTCATCCCTGCTTTAGCCTTTGTAGTTAGCCGTAAACGCAGCACGTAGGGGAGACAGGCTTATAAACCTTCTGTCGGCGTGTGGTTATAGAGGCTCTGACGATCGAAAGGCGCCTCAAGGAGTAAGCCTTGCAGCGACGTAACCCGTGACACAGCAACATAGCTAATACCGGCCTGGAAGTCGCGTGTAGCGAGATCAGTAACTATTTGCTCCTTCGTTAGGCTCTGGCATTTGTGAACAGTGATAGCAAACGCCACCATCAGGGGAAACTGCGTGCGAGCGCAGGTCTCGTTGCCCATAAGGAAATCACGCCTGACTGGGAGGATGGGTGAGATTTTCCTGCCCTCGTTAGTTATTAGATATGGCGGTCCATCGTAGCTATCAAAGTCCACCATAATAACGGCCGGGGGATCTTCCAATGGTTCGGCGCCTGGGTTCCAGGCGATATCGTATACAGTACCCTGGGGGCTGCAGCAATACACACCCGCAGGTGGTGCCAGGGAATGTTGTAGCTAGGTCGGCCGCGGAGCTAAATTTGACCTAGAATCCGTTAGTAACCGATGGGTTCGATAGATTCGACCCACGATGGAAGTGGAAGCGTGTGCTTGAAACTTGCATTGAAGAAAAGCTCGGAAACGGCTAGCTCGTTACCTAGTCAACGCTCAGGGGTTTGCGGCATGGCCTTCATTTGGTGGCGTTGCCAACCGACCACCCCGCACGAGTTGAGTACAGGGAGGCCAATTAGCCAATGAGAAGAGGTTTTATGCCTCTCTTCTGACTGAATACGAGAGGAAGGCTCGCCAGCCGCGGCTCGCGCAAAGAAGCCTTTCGGAACGAAATTTGGCGACAAGAGAACCGGAGAAGAGTTGGCTACAGAGAGAGAGAGAGAGTTGGCGACAGTAGATTGGAGACAGGAAGAAGAGTGAGGTCGAGATACGAGACACGGCGAGAGACGTAGAGCATTATCGTGAGTGAAACCGAGACAGAGCGTCGGGGAGGCAGGCTAGGCCGCTGGAGGGAGATTTTGTTTAAAAGGCGCAAACTCAAAGGGCGTGGAGAGACGGCAGGGTTGAAGAGAGATGGAGTGGGTAATGCATGTCTGGGCGAGTGGAAGGCTCGGAAAATTTACATGTGCTACCGGTATAAGTCGTAGGTATAAACAGAATAAGGAGTATATTGGGGAAGTTTTGACTTGATCGTCTTCATGAAAAGGAGAACAAGAAGAGAAGAGAATGTGCTATTCGAGCCTTTGGCAGTTGATTTTGAGGATGATGAGACATGTTGTCATGTTGTATTGTTTCGTTTGATGCTTTAAAGTTTAGAGAATATTCTTGGGCGGACGTCGGGCGCGCAGTGGTCGGGAAGATATCGACGCGGGAGGTCTGATAGAGCCAGAGGCGGATGTGTCTTGGTGATTGACCTGTTCGGTGTCCGTCTCTGACTCTGCGGGTCTTCCGGGGACAGAAAGGAGGAGGTATCGGATTTGGGAGTCTTGACCGTCACAGTCGGTGATTATGGTGGAAGTTTCGGGAGAAAGTCGCGGTCTCTTGGTTGGGGTTTGGTAGGGATCGGGCAATGACCGACTTGATGCCAGCATAAGGATCGACTGGGCCAGAAGCATGCGGCGTGGGGGAGGCGGGGCTTTGGGCGGCCTTGGGTTTCTTCGTAGAGGTAAACCTGGCCAACGCAACGCTATAGTCCGAGGGATTGCCGACCGCGCTTTTGGGTGTCGTCGGCAGTAGTTGTGTTGCAGAAGCCTGGTCGGACATGGCCTTGTCGTGGAAAGTCCACGTGTCGGGGACGACGATGAAGATATAGTCTTGGTCGAAAGCCGGGGCCTGTTTCATGATCTGGTGATCCAGTAAGCCGGCGATTTTGCCCGTACAGGTGAAGAGAGTGTTCGACTGGAACTGGCTGTCGCGCCTCTCGGTCATCTTCTTGCATAGGAGGTCCAAGGATTAGCGTGAATGGGGAAGATGACGAAAACTTGAAGGGTGAAAGCCCTTGAAGGGGTTTGCCGGGAATCCCAGGACAAATAAAGGTGGAGAGCTGGACAAAGCCGCAGCAGCTCAGCTGGGTGTCGTCAAGGGCCGCAGCCGAGTTTCCATGCAGGAGGTCGCGGCCGGAGCCGATGACAGGTCCCGTGAAGGAGACAATGGGTTGTATCGTTGGGAAAGTATCCACCGAGCTGAGGTGCGAGTGACAATTCTATGGATATCGTCAGGGAGGGCAGTGGCGACAGAGAGATTTGGAGCATAGACTCACGGTTGGTAGCTGTGATCGCGGACTATAAGCGCGGGGACGGTGTATTCTGTGATGTTATCATCGTCCGACTCCCAGCCATCACGTCGCTCGATTTCCCACGTCAGGGCAAAGGGATGAACACGGCCGACCATGAAGAACCATTGCTCGGTCCATTCCGAGGAGATTATCTGTTGGTTGTATATGGAAATATTAAGGCTGAAGAAGATGCAGGTCGATGGATTGCCAGTATCTGACCGGATTGCTGCATACCCGGAGTCGACAGCCATGAGGGCGTGGGAAGGAAGACCTCGCTAGGGTTTCTGCGTTGAGCCCTTTGACACGATGCTCATTCTGGTAGGCGAACCTAGCCGGGCAGCCGGGCTGGACAAAGGCCATCATGGACATGTCGGCGCCAGCATTTTTCTGGCTGTCAAGAGGTTGCCGCGGGAAGGACGAGGTATCGACGTTGAGCTGGGAGGCCGACATCGTGAGAACATGGCAGATGTAGTCACCGTGGAAGTGTAAATGAGGGGTTACGCAGAGTGGAGGTGGGCATCCTATAAAGCAGGTTTTCTTGCTGCTCGAAAGAGGGCTCGCGGCTAGGGTCGGGGAGACTTAAGAGTCAGAGAATGCTACCTAGGTGATAGATCAGAAGCGGGGGTATGCGGGAATGAGCTGGCGAGGTTCTTGAACAGTCTCGACCATCTGGTTCTATGGTCGTGAGTGAAGTAGGAGCCGGGGTTGGAAGTTGAGTAGGGGTGATGGCTATGTCGCGAGAAGTTGGAGGTCGGCGAACAGTAAGGTTAGTGTGGGTAAGTCTGCGGAGAAAGAAAGTCCAGCAGTACCCTTCGGTGTCATCGTTGCATGGAGTAGATAGCAAAGGCGACAATAACGAATGAGAGTGAAGGAAAGAAAGAGGTTATGGTAGTATTGCAGGGGTCCCTTTTTGACGGTCGTCGGTAGTTGGATGGGCATTGCGTGCGGCTGAGCGAGGCGGGTGCCGACCGTGTCGAGTCCACTATTGGGACACGGTGAAGTCGGATATAGGGGACGACCTGAGGAGGAGGATGCGAGTTGGTCACGAGAACTCCAAGAGGGTTTGCAAGTCGAGACTCCGGTGGCTAGCGACTACAAGAGGACAGGCAGGGGGATCCTGGCTGTCGCTTTAGCATGAAGGCCGTTGATGCGACGTTGGTGGTGGCGAGGGAGCAAACCTAGCCGGGTAGTCCGGTTGCACGAGGGACACCGTGGACATGTTATCGCCGGCAGCCTTTTGGCTGTTGCTCGACGAGGTGGAGTGGCAGATATTGATGGAGCAACTGATGCGCAAGGTGGGTGGGACGGCGTTGGAAGGGCCGGAGAGTATGGTTGGAAGTGTGCGGCGGGCGGTTGGCGCGGCCACCCCATGTGCCGGAGGTCGGCAGTAGCCAGGATTCGCTGGAGTGCGCAAAGAGAGCACGGCGATGGAAGGGCCGCCTTTGGCAAAGCTGGGGTAGCAGGTCGCACGTGGAGACCAGCCGAGGGTCGGGACGGTGGACGCACATAGGGAGGGTAAATGGGGATTACAAAGGGTAGTAGTATTGCATCGCTTCGGTACCATAGGCAAGCATTATAAGGGAAGAAATGCCACGGCCATGAGAGTAGTGATCGTTAGGAAGCTTCCCACTCGGAAAGAAATAGTGTACGCCAAGAAGCGAGATTATCCAAGTGGAAGTGCTCCGAGCCAAAACTTTCTAGCCTGTTGCCAATCCACGCTAGTCGACGTCGAGGAGGCAGTAGCATGGCGGACAGTCCTGCAGGGAAGCTAGGCGAGGCGGCCGCTCACCGTGGAGCCTGTTCGTTGTCAGTCGAGGATGGAGAAGAGGGTAGGAACGGGGGAGTGCCTGTTTCGGGGTGCGGAGATGATACAGGGCAACTCCGAGAAGGGGCACGGAGCACGGGAGACAAGGTTGGGGCGGTTCGGGAGATACAGATCAGTGGCGAATGAAGCATTAACGTTCCGGCTGATTCAGCCTAAGCAGTCTGCGGTCGAAGAAACCGCATGGAGAAAGCATGCAGAGGCGATCGCAAAGTCACTGCCGAGAAGACCGCCGCGAGGCGGTTTGCGGTCAAGCAGAGCACGGAAGTCCCGTAATTTGGTCAGCAGCGGAAATTCCGCGCAACGTCAGTCACCGAGTCCGCTTCCGAGGTTCGTGTTGCCTACAGAACGTGGAGACCAGGGGGCAGTGGGCTCTAACAGTCCACCCCTTCATCGGCCGTTTTTGCCCCAGGAGAGGGGTCCTGAAGGTGACGGGCAGGGAGATAAGGCGGCGACCGGCGGTGTCCCGGGTGTTCGTTCGAAAAAGGGACCGACGGTCCGACCTATCCAGCCCAAGGATACGACTTTCCAAGACCTAAGACGAACGGCGCAATTTGCAGCATCGATTGCATGGGGTTTGCCCAAGCTCCGTCGGGGACCGGTTCGGCGGCCAAGGGCACAGGTGGGTGTGGACGATGGCGCAGCAGAGGCAGCGGACGGCTCGCTGCGCGGACAGAGGCAGTCCCGGAGGCGTGAGAAGAGAGCCCGTCTTCCTAGCCGGGATGGGCGCCCGATAAAACAGGTCCGAAGTGGAATCGGAAGGCATAGGAGACGGGAGCTGCAGGCCGAAGACCTGGCGAGTGTGCTGCGCTTTTTGGAGGAAGACTTTGCCTTGAAGGAGAGATTGTCTAACGATCAGACGTGGTGCACGCCAATACCGCTCGAGAGGAAGGTGTCGACGGTGCGAGACTTCTATCAGGCGTTCCACGATGCGAGCACGTTGCCGATACGGACCTGCATGGCAGCTACCGCAAGTGTACGAGAGGAGAGTTGAGGAGATTACATGGGATCATTGGCTGTCAAGTTGCGTACCAAAGGGCGGCCGCTCACCATTTTCATGCCGGAGTTGCTTTCCTGAGGGCGAGTCCGTGTCGGTGTGCGCCGAGTGTGGCCGATGCCTGGCGCGCAGGAGCCTGTCGCCGGCGATCCACCTTCACAGTCGCCTTGGCTGCGAGCACATGTTCCCCGATGAGCTCAAGGGACTGACGCCGGTCGAAGAGAAGCTCATCTCGCTGAACTCATGTTACGGGTTTGTCACGAGATATAGCATTCCGGGCGGGCAGAGGCAGAGCGTGAAGTATCCGAGGCATGTCAGGGCCACATCACGGTGTTTCCGAACAATGTGCAGGAGCTGGCCACAAAGTGCTCCCGCACCCCTTTTGCAAGCACTGGACGAGATCCACATCTCGTGGCAGGGCGCGGAGAAGCCGGCACCGAGCGACCTGTCGAGTCTCTTGTCGGTGAGGCGGCGGGTGGTCGAGAGGGCCCTTGTCTGGCTGAAGCGGAACAACCCCCACTACGCCGAGATCGAGATCGACGCGGCGGAGATGGAGAGCTGGGGAGACTCGATACACGGGGTACCGTCGTCGGTGTGCGATCGTATGGAGCGGAACGAGCCGTCTGGGTGGGAGAAAGCGCGGACGGCGCACGTTGTGCCGCCCACGGAACGCGCCGTGGACGAGGAGGGCCGGTGGAGATCGAGGAGCTCTTCGCCCTGCTCAACCAAGGACAAGAAGCCGGCGGCCAGGTGAAGGTCACGGGCCCAACGGAGAAGGCGCGGTTCGCGATGGAAGTGACGCCTGCCCCGACCAGAACGTTCCAGCGATCAACGAGGTGACGTCTTCTGGCATGTTCGCGCTCGACGGACCGCCAGACGTCGCGGACGTGGAGAAGCTGCAGTTTGCCTGTGACGCTGTTGGTGAAGGTGCCGACGACGGCCGTGCCCGAGAGCGTGGGTCGGGTCCCTAGCCGGGGGTTCGGGGCGTGGCGACGGTGGTTGTGAGCCATACATCCGGGTTTCGCGGGGGTGAGTTTACCGATTCCTTTGAGGCGTCCTTCTTGCCAGGACGTTCCCGACCCTGTTCCCATTTGGCGTTGGGGACCAAGGCTGGTTGAAGAGACCATGGTCGACGCGGGAAGGTCACGGCCAACTTGCGAGGCAGGGCTGTCGAGGCAGAGGCGGCCGCGGAGACCCCGTATCGTCTCGAAGCTTGAACCTTCAGGCGTGGGCCGAGATCGTGCTCCGGCGCCATGGTGGTCGATTTGCACTGCACCACATCTTCGCATTTCTCGTCTTCAACATGGGGTGCGGTCGAGGAACCGCCGGGTCAGCATGTTGAGTGTGGGAGGAAGAACTTCCGCAAGGTAGAGCGCATCGTGCGTTCGATGACCACAGAAAGGCTAGCGGCGGCGAGGGTCGAGTTGGAGAGCTCGGGTAAGACGACCGATGGTGACGTGAAGGAGCTTCTCAGGAGCCTCTCGCTTTACGGCCACCGGCAGCCCATGTCGAGAGAGGTCCGTCTCAATATGCGGCGGAAAATCCAGTCGCTCATCGTCGGATATGGCGTGCCGGCCATCTGGTTCACCATCAACCCGAACGACATTACGAACCCGGTGAAGCTGCGACTGGCGGCATACCGCACACGCGATCCCGACGCGGCCGAGGAGTTCTTAGAAGGCCTTGGGGATGCGTATAAGCGGGCACGGCTGGCGATATCGGATCCCATGAGCTCGGCCGTGTTCTTCCACCGCGAGATGAAGCTGTTCTTCGATCATTACGTGAAGGTCGGTGAAGAGTCGGTATTCGGGCGCATCGGCAAGTACTATGGCGCCGTGGAGACGAACGAACGAGGGCGCTTCATGTTCACGGCTTGCTCTGGCTGCACGGGAACGCGCATCTCAGCTCGATGCTTGCCGACATCCACGGGGAGGATCAGGCGGCGTATCGCGAGCGAATCGTCCGATACATCGATAGCGTCTTCTCAGAGGTAAGAATGCCTACCTAAGATGTGCCACCGGGAGCCTGAAGTACTCTTCTGATGGCCAAGTGGGGCCGGGTTGACGTGCAAGGCAGGATCTGACCAGGAAAGTTTTTGCGCCGTGCAAGCGGAGCGATCTGTGACGGGCGGTATTGGTTCCTGCTGGACAACGCCGCGCAGTTCTCGGCCGCGTTTATCGAGGAGGCCAACTTCTGTGCCGGCGCGACGCAGGTGCACACGCATAGCCCGACCTGTGTGAAGTATTCCTTGGGCAAAGGAGGGCGGAAAGGGGACCTCTGCCGGTTCAAGGCGCCATGGAGGTTAGTCGACAAGACCGCCCTCACGGCAGACGGGGTGCTGCAGATCCGGAGGACACACAGCATGGTCAATCGATGGAACGAGGCTATTGCTGTCGGGCTCCGGCACAACCATGATATTTCCTTCATTGCGACGCAGCGCAAGACAATGGCCTCATCTATTATGTCACGAACTACGCGACCAAGGTGGAGGACCCGGTGTGGAAGCGTGTGGCGGCCGCGGCCGAGCTCCTGGCCGCCTCAACAGGTGATGGCACGGCCAACGGAGGGCGGGACGGTGGCGGAGACGCTGCCACCGATGACCCTGTCAAGGGAACAGGACGCGACAGTTCCTGATGAGAGTGGCGAACCGCGTGTTCACGGAGCGTCCGCTATCACAGGTCGAGGTCGTCGCTCACCTTCTCGGATATCCGGCCGAGTTCACCGACAGCAGCGCGTGGGCGTACCTGAACTGTTCTCTGCTGTACTGGGAAGTCTTTCGGCGATGGCGGCATCTCCGAGAAGCCAGTGGCGCTGCGGCTATGGATGACACCTTGATGAGTCGGTCGTCGTCGAAGAAGAAGGCCTGAGAATCTCCCACGTCGAGGCGTACCAGCACCGGGAGAGCTGCTGAAAGGCCTATGCCTGTATGACTACATATCGATCGTCAGACTGAAACGCATCGGCAACGACGAGAGCTGGGCGGCTTGGGGGGAGATGTCTTTCGAGGATGGATGGGCGCCGGGACGACGCTGGGTTCAGGTGCTCAGGCGGCCGGGCAAGCACGCTACCGTCTGCCTCGACGGCTACCTGAGCAAGGACTTCACCTACGATGACGAGTCGTGCTACCGGAGGTGTGTATGGCAACTGCTCTGTCAGCGGGCATTATCGGAGAGGCTAACCCACCCCTGAAGGGCAGCCGTGCAGCATCTTGCGCTGTTCGTGCCGTGGAGTCCTTCCTGGGCGAAGGAACAGGTGAGATCAACAGCATCTGGGCGCGGGCTCGATACGCTATGGCCCTGAGAATATCATGTCTCGTCGACAACGTGCAGCTGCTTCGACGATTCGCCGAAGACGCAAAACGCGACGCCAAGCAATGGGCAGCCTCGTCCGGCGATGGCGACCCGACGGTCGCACACGTCGAGGAGGGTGGAGCAGGCGAGGCGGGCGCGGAGTCTGCAGCGACATATCAGCCCAACAGCATCGGAGACGCAACGCGGCTCATCGACGTCGTCCGAGGTGCAGTGGGAGCGAATCAGGTGACGGCCAAGTCGCCGGAGCTCATGGCAATGATACAGCAGCTCTGTCGGTTTCAGCATCGGCGCTGCGCTCGACGGCCGAGCTCGAGGCCACGGCGCTGATCGAACGAGGGAGAGGCGGTTAAGCATGCCAGGGCGGGTATTTTCCGGGGCCGCACTACCGCCGCAGGATCAGGTCAAGGCTATCAAGTCGCAGCAGGTAAGTGCCTCGAAGGAGAGGGAGAGGATGATCCAAGGGATACAAAGCACGCCCGCCGCCTGGGAAAGCGATCGCCGCGCAGCGTTGCGAAGGGTGATGACCGGTTTCGGGGAGGACGAGATCGAAATGACGATGGCCGACTCCGACGAGACCGCTATCGACGCAGGGGCGGGAATGGACGTTCAGTTTGGCCCATCAACCTCCTTCCTCGCGGCGGGCAAGGTGTTGGCAACACGGCTGACGCTGAACAAGAGGCAGTCCATCGCTTTTCTGATAATATGCCGCCAGCTCGATTTGATGCAGCAGACCGCCGGGGCGATGCCTGCCAGCTGCGCCAGTTCGTCGGTGGCGAGGGCGGTACCGGCAAGTCGCGAATCATCGAGGCACTCGTCGAGCTGTTCAGTAAAAGAGCCTTTCGAATCGTCTGCTGATCACGGCGACGTCGGGGACTGCGGCGGCGCGGATCAACGGCATCACGATCCACCCGCCTGCGGGTTCACTAAAGACCAAGGGGCGGGGCGCGAACATGGTCAAAGACCTTGACGGTGCGGCTGCCGAAACAGGCGGAGCGGTTCATCCACGGCCAGTCTCGAATGGATTGGCAGGAGAAGGATGTGCTCGTCATCGACGAGGTGAGCATGCTCGGGGCGCGGACGCTGCACGCCGTGAACGAGCGGCTTCGCCGGCTTCGCGGATCGCGGCAAGATTTCGGGGGGATCCCCATCGTCCTCTTCTGCGGAGATTTTCAGCAGTTCCGGCCGGTCCAAGAGAGGTCGATCGTCCTGCCTAGCGCGGCCATCTCGTGGGACGTAGACAACTCGTTCAAGGCCGAGCAGCGTCACCAGCACGACAAAGCGCACGCACTGTGGAAGAGGTTCACGACGGTCGTCATGCTGGACGAGCAGATGCGCGCCGCCGGCGACCCGGAGCTGCAGAGGCTGCTGAAGCGGATCCGTCTAGGCGTGCAGGATCGGACGGATCTAAACCTCCTCAACTCAAGGTGCTACCGGGAGGGAAGGCGGATCCCTTGGGAGACGGGCATCACCGTGGTGACGCCGCTCAATAGGAATCGGTGGAACCTGAACATGGAGGCGAGCCTGGCGTTCCGGGTCCAGCAGCGGTCGACGATGCGCATTTTCATCTCCGAGCACAAGTGGAAGGAGGAGCTGCCGACGGAGGAAGAGGCGATCATGATACTCAACCAGGGCGACGATAGCGCGATCCCGGTGCCGGCCGTCTTCATGTTCGTGGCCGGGATGCCCATCGTCGTGAACCACAACACCCACCAGGGGCTGAAGCTAGTGAACGGCGCGAGCTACTCGGCGGTGGAGGTCATTGTCGACAAGGCGTACCCGGGGCATCGGATCTCGGCCGATATGACGATCCACTTCGGCCGCCGGCGGGGATCATTCTCGAATCGGAGACGACGAGATATCTCCACTTCGTCGGGATGCCGCCGGGCACGATCTTGTTGACACCCATGACCGTTAAGATACAGTGCCAGCGAAAAAGGCCGTGGCAACGCAACGACGTCAGCCGAAAGGGTTTGCCGTGCGCAGCAGCGTTCGCGTGCACGGACTACAAGGTGCAGGGCAAAACGCTGGAGCGCGTGGCCTCGAGCTGCGAGGACACGGACGACGAAGATGGATGGAACGGTGGTGCCTCGCAGTGCGACCCGTACGGCCTGTACGTGCAGCTATCGCGCTGCCGAACTCTAGACGGCATCATGCTCGTGTCCAAGGTGCGGGACAGAGACTTGGTGGGCAACCGGGTCCCGAGGAGATGACTGCCGCACAGGCCAGGCTCGAGGTACTGAGCGAGAGGACCGTTGAGGAGGCGTTGCGCTGGCTGGACGGTGATGCTGAAGAGTCAAGGCGGCCGCGCTAGGTGACGCGATGAAGAGTTCGGCAGGCGGGAAGAGTCGGCAGGCGGCAGACAGGTGGGAGGCGCCTAGTGGTGGATAAGGCACGCGAAAAGGCAACAGAAGCCGGGGAAGGGCAGCGACCAACGAGGAGGGAGGCAAGGAGGACCAATCACAAGGGACCAATCAAGGGGCGGAGAACTTTGGGGGAGAGGGCGGGGTCAGCGGGGCACGTTAGAAGGCCTTTCGTTCCTCAAGGCAAACGCCCTTCGGGCTGAATGATCCAAGTGGCGGAACCCCGGTCGGGGAGTTATGATATACCCGTTATGTCACCGTATAAAGGCGGGGTGCCAGGTAGCCTCTAACCTATCTGTCATCTCTAGGGTAGGAGGCAGGCTGGCTCGTCAATATTTATGCGAAGCAGTTGAGATGCCAATACATTCGCTTCTTTCCGTTGTAATTAAGCATACTGGTAAGCGTCTAAACACAAGCTTTGCTAAGAGCTTCCGCCTGTTATTGACTTTATTATGCTATCAAAACATGTTGCTAAGTTATCGTTTCTGGTCGAGAAAACCCATTATACCGGATGTTGCCCTGCCAATTTGTTCAAGTTTGTCAGTCGGGTTACAGTCCAAAGCGCAGATTGAGCCTCGGCCACACTTCTACGGCCCCAGCTACACCAATCATTAGCTTCATAGGTCGATGCACCGCAAGCCTTCTGATGCTCTTCTCGTCGAGGCTCAACTGAGGATCTCCACCGCCGTTGCGTACGCAAATTGGATGCCGACGTTAGGAACACTGGGGCGTGTCGCTTGGCTGGCACGAGATGAGCGCGAGACGAGCGCGAAGCGAGCACGTACGGAACAATTCGCGACGATGTTAAGTTTCGTTGTGCGCCGACGCTAAAAGGGATATGACCGATCATTGGCCGGCAAACTCAAATTAATTGGATTCTGTGGTCCAAACCAAATCACTAGGACTTCCTAGGGTGGTCAAAAGAGGAAGTTGTCCACCACAGAATGATCTGACCGGAGCTGCCACAAACAATCCGGTTTATCCCACCAATCCTGCTCTCCGCCAGATTCCCATGATCGCCACTCTTATTGTCTAGTGCAGTCCCTAGAGGATCATGTCCTCCATCGTGGATCACCTGAGGCTGGCACCTATATAGATGATTCTGACCTTATTAGTGGGACAGCGGCTTCCCCGTCACCGGCACCATCCTCTTCGCCTGTCCTTAGCGTCTACCGCCGAAAGACGTCTCCTATTTGGCAGTATTGTCGAAGAGAAGAAGGTAGGAGTATTCCGGCAGCTTGGGTTGATTCCAATGGAACGAAATGGTGGCATTGCCAGCCCTGCTTCGACAAGAAAAGAGCGAAGAAATACAATTACTGTGGTGGGTCGTCCGCCATCGTCAATCATTTGCGAAAGGAGCACAATATCATTATTTCTGGGCGGCAGGAGATCAGGCGGAAGTGACGCAAAGTCGCCTCGGAGACATCACCGCATTCCTGGCCAATGGAACTTTGTTCTCCACCAAGAAACGCAAGGCGACCGCAGAGGAAGATGCCTAGATCAAGCGACTCTCCGCGAACTGTACTGCCGTTATACAGTAGCTTGCAGCCTCTCATTTGCTCATGTTGAGCAGCCGGCCTTTCGCGACTTTATCCGGTATATCCGTCCGGCCGCCGATGATCTCCTCCCGAGGTCCGGCGACACGGTTAAAAATGACTTACAATGGGGCTACGACAACAAGAAGGAGTTTGTAAAGCGAGCTCTGCAGAATGCTCTCTCGTCAATCCACATTGTTCCAGACAATTGGACATCGCCGAATTGTTTGGGCGTAATAGGGTTTACAGTTCAATTCGTTACCGAAGATCATGGTCTGCAGTCCCTGGTGGTGAGGATAAAAGAATTGGAAGGACAGCACAGCGGCGAGAACATGGCAGAAGCCATCATGGAGTTCATACGAGAATATGGAATAGCGACAAAAGTTGGATACTTTATGATGGATAATGCCACCAACATGAATACCATGATCGACAAAGTCTCCGACGACTTGGAGCACGAGTTCGAAGTTTTCTACGATCCTCTTCCTCACCGACTTCGCTGTTTCGGCCACATCATTAACCTGGCCGTGATGGAGTTCCTCATAGGAAAGCGACCACCCACAGCAGATTCCTACCACGGACCGTCCGACGACGAAGTTAAGCAATGGAGAAAGCGAGGGGCGATAGGCAAATTGCATAATATCGTGGTCTACATCACCTGGACTCCCAGCGACTTCAGACATTCACTGGTCTCACTGACGGTCTACGGCTACGGCGCGACAATGACACTCGTTGGAATTCGTGGCATAGCATGGTTGAGTGGGCCTTAGAACAAAAGTCCGTCAAGGCATCACCATATTTTGTGCTCAAGAGCCTGCCCTGCAAGACGATGCTCTGACTTCCTCTGACTGGGTTACTTTGGCTGAAATTCACAAATTTCTCGAACCTTTTCACGACGCTACAATGGCCAACGAAGGCACCGGCAATTCCATCTCTGACGTTCTGCCAACCATGGACTATCTCTTGCATCACATTGAAGCGGCCAAGGAGGCCACTACCATCCCCCACTTGGCTACAATGATGGAGACGACATGGGCCAAATTAGCCGACTACTACGAATTGACGGAAGATTCGCCAGTCTATTCAGCAGCGACGGTATTAAATCCTTCCTCAAGTGGGCCTATATGGAGAAGACTTGGGACGACAAGAATGAATGGATTGAGAGAGCTAAAGCTCGGGTAGGGGAGCTCTGGAGGAGGCATACAAATCTACCACTCCCTGCCCTGTTCTTCGACCAGCTTCCGCACAAGAGCCAAGTGCAAGACGACCAAATGGGTACAAATGTGGATGAAAGAGCAAAAGGCTACGATTTTCAACATGGATGACGACGAGTACGAAGTGTATTGCCGCGAGCCTGTGGTGATGGTATCGGATCCGTTGAAATGGTGGTTAGAGTCAGCGCAGCGGCGACGGTTCCCTAACTTATCTTTGATGGCCATTGACCTTCTATCGATTGCGCCTATGTCTACTGAGACAGAGCGGCTCTTCTCCAAAGCCAAACTTTCGGTAACCGACCAGCGAGGATCTATGAACATAAGCACTACTACCGCAAACAGGTCGGATTTCTCAGCCTCCTGACCGATTCAAGCCCAGTCGGCAAGCAAAACTTTCTTTCCTGCTACCAGAAAGCACGCGAGCAAGCGCTCACTGTGTCAAACATCAAGGGTGGCTGGAAAGCGACGGGTTTGTGGCCGGTGTCGATGGCGAAGCCACTTTGAGCCCTCTTCTGCTGGAGAACAGCAACAGACGCAAAAGGAACGCGAAAAATGTGGCCAATGCATTCAATAGCCACTTACCCACCAGTGACTGGCAATCAGACACATCCCAGATTGCGTGGTCGACCCGAGGCGCTCGCAAGATCTGAAGGTTCAGGTAGTTCAATTCAACCAGCTAGACGACGACGTGCCCACGAAGAGATTGCTGTTCAGGAAGATCACAAAGGGTTTGACGAGAAGGATGGCCTTTAGCAAAAGCTCAATTGCAGATTCAGGCACTGGAAACACAATTGGCGGCCGTCAAGCCGAAAAAAAGGAAGAGGGTGGTCACGAGCCCGAATTCGAGGTTCGCCAATATTGAGGCAATACGACGGGCGCAGGAGGAGGTGAACGCAGCTGAGAATGAAGAATCTGATGAAACCGAAGCTGAGGTTTCAGAAATAGGTGACGATTGTATCGTAGTGCACGGTGGTGGGCAGTGAGAAGGGATTGAATTAATGGTGTTGAAAATGGTCGTGAATTTTTTGGGGTGCCCAAAACAGGGGGGTGCCCATTTCTATGTGCAGGGACTTATTGATCCTCGGGGGCACCTACGACTACGTGGCCGCTTATGGGTGCCAGGCGCACCGATCACGACAGAAGCAGCAGCCAAGGCAGCACCGCTAGAGCAGGAGTCGCTAAACGAATTACGGGCTCCTTAATCCAGAAGGTTCATGACCCATGTAGTAGGCCACCCGGGACGGAAGGGACGATAGAAGCCGTATCCAGGGACTTCTACTGGCCGCTAATGCAACAGCATATCCGACGTTTCTTGCGTAACTGCGATGTCTGCGGCCGTACGAAGATATGGCGTGAGCATAAAGGGGTCTACTTAGACCGCTACCCGTACCGGACCGCTTCTTCCGCCAGATACAGATGGACTTTATTACGGACCTCCCTTGCGAACGGTAACCGCTGCCTCTGGGTTATCAAGGACCGGCTAAGTAAGGAAGTTATACTCGAACCGATGCCAACGATGGAAGCGGAAGCATGTGCAGAGCGCTTTCTATGGTGCTTCGCCCGCTACCACTGGTGGCCCGACGCTATAACGAGCGATAGGGGCTCGAATTGGGTAGGCCGCTTTGGAGGCACATGCAAGTTACTGGGGATCGACCAGCAGCAGCACGGCGTACCACCCCAAACCGACGGAGGCCCTGAGAGGATGAACCAAGAAGTACAGGCATACCTCCGCGCCGTGATTAACCAGAACCAGAACGACTGGGATAAGTGGGTTCCCGCGGCTCAGATGGCGTTAAACGGTCGGGTCAATACCTCTATAGGGATGTCCCCATTCTTCGCTATACACGGCTATGAGCCGAAGTCACCAGTTCCCTCGTTACGGAAGCATATGCGGAAGAGTATCCTCAGCATTCGCCAGAAACCAGGGCAAAGAAATTTGTTACCAAACTACAACAGATTACGGACCTCTGCCAAGCATCAATGGCGACAGCTACGCAGCAACAAGAACGCTTCGCTAACAGACGACGGAACGCGGCAGAACGCTTCGAAGTAGGCGATAAGGTTTGGCTTGACTTACGGAACTACGCGTCAGAGCGACCTAAGAAGAAGTTCGACTGGCTGCACGCTAAGTATACGATAAGCAAGGTACTCGACCCGTACACGGTTGAACTAGCAGACCTCCCGAGGGGCTGCTATAATAGGTTCCACGTCGACCAACTCCGGAGAGCGGGGACGGACCCAATGCCTGGTCAGCAACGCACAGACGCTCAACCCCATCTATCCAAGTAGACGGGAGGCTCACCAAGTAGTAGAGGAAATACTATGCGCTAGGTGGAAGAGAACCGGCCGCGGCCGTAGGCGGAAGTCCTTGTACGCTGGCAAGGTTGGCAAGACCCGACCTGGACCTCTTTAGACAATATGCAACAGACAGCGGCCTTGGATAAGTACGAACAGAGATACGGCCCGGCTCTCGAAAACGATGGACCATACCAGCACCGACGAGTGGCAACGGAAGCACAGCCGGCCCAAATCCAGGGGCAAGTCGAAGGAATACAACCACAGCTGCAGATACAGGGCAAGAGAATACGCGGACCACTACGGGCTAGGACTAATGGCGACGCCCCGTCGATAGTAACGGCACCAGACCCTATAGACGACGGCCCTACGATCGTTGTAGAGGGGACCAGGAACAGGAAAAAGGGCACCAGCGCCAGAGAGGAGTAGGGGGCTAATGTAAGGGGCTACGCCCCGATGTGTAGATCTGGCATGGCCAGACTAGTCACGTGCGAGCGCCACGGACACGACTCCTAAAGGGAGCGATGTAGACACGTCTCCCCTTTACACTCTTTGTAGCTCAATTTACATCAATTACGCCCAGCACCTGTGCCAACAGTGCTGACCCCGTAACACAAACCACTGCAAAAAGACCTTAAAAGCGATGGCTGGAGAAGAGGATCAATGGATCCAGTAGGTTACGTTTGCCTTGAGGAACGAAAGGCCTCTTCTTATCGCGTTTGCCTTGAGGAACGAAAGGCCTCTTCTTATCGCGCGACCACCCAACCCAATTTTTTCCCCCCCAAACTCCCGTCCTCTGATTGGTCGGGTTCCTCCCTTTTGATTGGTCGGAAAGGAAATTATCATGGTTTGAAAGCTTCCCCGCAACCTCGACTGCTTACCGCTCCTTCCTCCGGCCTCCTTTTTTTCTGATGGAACGGCCCTGTTTCGTCCGCCCTCTCGGCCGCCTATCACTCCTAGCCGGGCCCTTTGCCTTTCTTTTGGGGTGTCTTGGAAGAAGACGTATAGAACTTGCCCCCGCCGAGGTTTTGTGAGAACGGTGGTTCTGCGGCTCGGGCCTAATGAGGAAATAGTTGGGCGTTCTATCTATTTATCCCCCCCCAGTCTCGTCTTGTCCCTCCCGCGGCCCCGGAGGTCATCGCCGAGCCAGCGTAGCGCCTCCCGACGGTCCTCTCACTGAGCCTCTCTAGCCGTGCCTGCGCCGCCGTCATCTCCTCGGGCACCCTGTTCCTACCAGGTCCCTCTCCCGCACCTCCGACACGAGCATGATGCCGTCGAGCGTCGGGCACCGCGATAGCTGCACGTATAGGCTATACGGGTCGCACGGCGACGGTACCGCGCGCCCGTCGACGGTCGTCGTCCTCGCCCCCCGGAGCTCCAGCGCCACGCGCTCCAGCGTCCCGCCCTGCACCTTGTAGTCGGTGCAGGCGAAGGCCGCGGCGCACGGCAGGCCCTCCGGCTAACGTCGTTCCGCTGCCACGGCCGCTTCCGCTGGGCCTGGATCTTGACGCTGATGGGCGTCAGCAGGATCGTCCCGGACGGCATCCCCACGAAGTGGAAATCCTTGGTCGTCTCCGAGGCCAGCACCATGCCGACCGGCGGCCCGAAGTGCATTGTCAGCTCCGCCGAGACCCGGTGGCCGGGGAAGGCCCGGTCGGGTATGACGTCGACCGCCGTGTACCCGGCCCCGTTCACTAGCTTCAGCCCTGGTGCGTGTTCTGGTTCACGACGACCGGCATGCCGGGCACGAAGAGGAAGACGGCCGGCACCGGAGTCGCGCTGTCGTCGCCCTGGCCTAGCATCAGCACCGCCTCCTCCTCCGTCGGCGTGCCGTCCCTCCACTTATGCTCGGAGACGAAGATGCGCGCCGCCGTCCGTTGCCGGGCCCGGAACGCGAGGGCCGCCTCTAGGTTGAGGTTCCAGCGATTCCTGTTAAGCGGCGTCACCACCGTCACCCCAGTCTCCCACGGTATCCGCCTGCCCGCCCGGTAGCACCTCGAGTTGAGGAGGTCAGGTCCGACCGGTCCTGCTCCCCCCGCCGGATCCGCCCGAGCAGCCGCCGTAGCTCCGGGTCGCCGGCGGCGCGCATCTGCTCGTCGAGCATGACGACCGTCGTAAACTTCCTCCATAGCGCGTGCGCCTTATCGTGCTGCCGCCGCCGCTCGGCCGCGAACGCGCCGTCCGCGTCCCACGGCACCGCCGCGCTCGGCAGCAGGATCGACCGCTCCTGCACCGGCCGGAACTGATGGAAGTCGCCGCAGAGGATGACTACCGGGATGCCGCCGAAGTCCCGCGGCGAGCCCGCAGCCGGCAGAGCTGCTCGTTCGCCGCGTGCAGCGTGCGCGCCCCGAGCATGCTGACCTCGTCGATCACCAGCACCTCCTTCTCCTGCCAGTCCATCCGCGACCGGCCGTCGACGAAGCGTTCGCCCTGTCCCGGCAGCCGCACCCCGTCTACCTCCTCGCCGACCCCGCCTGGCCGCCCTGGCCGACCAAGAGGCCGCAGGCCGAGTGCAGGGTGATGCCGTTGATCCGCGCCGCCGCCGTCCCCGATGTCGCCGTGATTAGTAGCTGGCTCGATAGGTCCTCTGGGCGAACAGCTCGACGAGCGCCTCAATGACGCGCGACTTGCCGGTACCGCCCTCGCCGCCGACGAATAGACAGAGCTGGCCGGCGTCGCCGCTGTCGCCGGCGTCGCCGCCCTGCCGGGCCTGATCGAGCTGGCGGCATATGATGAGGAGGGCGATCGACTGCTTCTCGTTAAGCGTTAGCCGGCCCGCTAGCTCCCTGCCGGCGGCGACAAACGAGCTCGACGGGCCGAGCCGCACACGCATCCCCGCGTCGGCGTCCGCTGCCGTCACCTCGACGTCGTCCTCGCCGAAGCCGCCCATCACCCCGCGTAGCGCCGCACCTCGGTCGGCCCCGGGCGCCGACGCCGCCGCGCCGCCCTGATTCCTTGGATCGCCCCCCCGCTCCCGCGCGGCGCTCCTCTGCTGCGACTTGATGGCTCTTACCTGCTCTTGCCGCGGCAGCGCCGCCCCGGAGAGGGTCGACCCCGCGAGGATTACCCGCCTCGGCCCCGCCTCGCCCGCCACCACCGTCGCATCGAGCTCGGCCGCCGACGAGCGCCGACTGCTGAAACCGGCAGAGCTGCTGCGTCATCGCCAGCAGCTCCGCCGACCGCGCCGTTACCTGGCCCGCGCCGGCGGCGTTCCGGACAACGTCGATGAGCCGCGCCGCGTCGCCTGCGCCGCCGGCGCGGTACACCTGCCCGCCCCTCGGCCGCCTCCTCCGCGCCCTCGTTGGCGCGTGCCGCCGCCGCCGGCTCGCCCTCCTCGGTCGTAGCGGCCCATTGCCTGGCGTCGCGCTTGGCGTCCTCCGCCGACCGCCGGAGCAGCTGTACGTTGTCCGCGAGCCGCGCGATCCTCGGCGCCAGCGCCGCCCGCCCCGCGCCCAGATGTCGTTGATGTCGCCCGTCTCCTCGCAGACGAATGCCTCCCACGGCACGAACAGCGCTAGATGCTGCACCGCCGCCCTTTGCACCGTTAGCCGGGCCACGGGCCGCGTCGCCGTCCGACGGTACGCCCTCGGCTTTGCTATACGTACCTCCGATGACATGACTCCTCGTCTTCCTCGCCGAACTCCTTACTGAGGTACCCGTCAGGCGTACGCTCGCCCCTTACCCGGCCGTCTGAGCACTTGCGCCCAGTCCTTCCCGGAGCCCAGCTCTCGTTAAAGGGTATCTCGCCCCAGGCCGCGCAGCCCTCGGCGCCTCCGCCATTCCGTTTCAGCCTTACGAGCGACGCGTAGTCGTAGAGACAGAGGCCCTAGGAGCCCGCCTCTATGCCGGTAGGCCTCGATGAAGGAGATCCTCGGCCCCGCCTCCTCGACGACGACCGTCTCGTCCGGCGCGTCGCTCGCCGTCGCCTCTACCCCGCTCGCCAGTCGGAGGTGCCGCCACTGGCGGAAGACGGCCCAGTAGAGCTGGTTCGTGTTCACGTACGCCCACGCCGCGCCGCTGCAAAACTCCGCGGGATACCCCAGGAGGTCGGCGATCACCTCGACCTGGGATAGCGGGCGCTCCGTGAAGATTCGGTTCGCCGCCTTTAGTAGGAACACCTCGTCTTGTTCCCCTTATAGGGTCCGCCGCGGCCTCCTCTCCGGCTCCGTTCCCGCTATCGTTGCGGTCGGCGCTGGGGATACTGCTCTCGCTGTCGGCTCTAAGGTCGGGAGTAACTCGGCCGCGGCGGCCACCCGCTTCCACGTAGGGTCCTCTACCTTAGTCGCATAGTTGGTGATGTAGTAGATCAGGGCCATGGTCTTGCGCTGCGTCGCGATGAACGAGATGTCGTGGTTGTGCCGCAGCCCTACCGCCATCGCCTTGTTCCACCGGTTCACCATGCTATGTGTCCGCCGGATCTCCAGCACGCCGTCCGCCGTGAGCGCCGTCCTCTCTACTAGCCTCCAGGGCGCCTTAAAACGGCAGAGGTCGCCCTTACGACCGGCCCCCGCGAGCGAGTACTTGACGCAGGTCGCGCTATGCGTGTGGACCTGCGTCGCGCCGGCGCAGAAGTTGGCCTCCTCGTCGAACGCGTCCGTTAAGCGCTCGACGTCGTCAAGCCACGACGACATGTGCGCCGTGATCGACCGCTCCGCCTGCACAGCGTGGTGCCCTTCTGCGTCTAGCTCCTACGGCCTAGGGTTAGTTTCGGCCCCTTTAGTCTGCGTTCGACGGAGCCGGGAGGCTACGCCTCTAGACGTCGTCCGCCTTACCTCGGAGAAGACGCTGTCTACGTAGCGGATTATTCGCTCCCGGTACGCTGCCTGCTCCTCGCCGCCGGCGCCGGCCAGCGCCTCGCCGAGGCGCGCATTGCCCTTTAGCCAGAGAAGCCCGTGGAGGTGGAGAGCACCTCGTTCGTTCGTCTCTACCGCCCCGTAGTACGCCCCGACGTGCCCGAACACCGACTCGTCCCCGACGTCGACGTAATGCTCGAAGAAGAGCTTTATCTCCCGGTGAAAGAAGACGGCCGCGCTCATCGGGTCCGCTATCGCCAGCCGCACCCGCTTATACGCAGTCCCTAGCTCTCTTAGGAAGGCCTCGGCCGCTTCGGGGTCGCGGGCGCGGTACGCCGCCAGCCGTAGCTTTACCGGGTTCGTAATATCGTTCGGGTTTAGCGTGAACCAAATGGCCGGCACCCCGTATCTGACGATGAGAGATAGTATCTTCTTCCGCATACTTAGGCGGCTCTCCCTCGACATCGGCTGCCGGTGGCCAAACACCGATAGGGACCGGAGGAGCCTTTACCCCGTCGTCGCCGGTCTTGCCCGTGGCCTCGAGCTCGACCTCGCCGCCTCGAGCCTCTGCGTCGTTAACGACTTTAGTAGACCCTCGACCTTTGCGAAGTTCTTCCTCGTTACGCCTAGCATACTGGCCTGGCGGTTCCTAGACCGCACCCCATATTAAACACTAGGAAGGCGAAGATGGGATGCGTCGCGAACCGGCCGCCGTGGCGCCGTAGCACGACGTCGGCCCATGCTTGGAGGTTCATGTTCCGGGTCGACGTGAGGCCCTCCGCGACCCGCTCCGCCTCGGCAGCCCGGCCCCGCCACCCGGTAGTCTCGCTTCCACGGGTAGCGGCCTCGTCGGCGAGCCTCGGCCCCACGCCAAAGGGAAATAGCGTCGGGAAGGTCTTGGCGAAGAAGGAGGCGTCCGCCGAGTCGGCGAACTCGTTGCCGCGCCGTACCTGGATATAGGGCTCGTACTTGTCGCCATCGCCGCCGCGCGCCGCCCCTCCGGCCGCCGTCCCCACCCACGTCCTCGGGCCTGCGCGGGCGCGCGCTCCGTCGGGCCCGACGGCGTCGCGGGCGAAGCGAATCTTCTCGGCGTCCGCCACCCCTGGCGGCCCGTCGAGCGGGAACATGCCGGACGACGTCACCTCGTTGATTACTTCCCCGCCCTCTTCGGGCCTAGCGCCGTCCTCTTCGTCGTCGCACGTGGGCCTGACGTCGCGACTCCTCTCCGCGGGATCCCGCCCCTGGCTTAACATGACGAGGATCTCCTCGATCTCGACCGCGCCCTCGTCGTCCATGGCCCGCTCCGTCGGCGGCACCACCTGCGCGGTCCGCGTCCTCTCCCGCGCTGACGGCTCGTTTCGCTCCAGGCGCTCGCATACCACCGACGGCACCCCGTGCGGCGGCGCCCCCCAGCTCTCCATCTCCGCCACGTCGATCTCGACCTCGCCGTAGAGCGGGTTGTTCTCCTTAAGCCAGACGAGCGCCCTCTCGACCGCCCGCCGCCTTACCGACAGGAGGCCCGACAGGTCGCGTGGCCCCGGCTTCTCGGCCCCCTGCCACGAGACATGGATCTCGTCCATAACCGGACTAGCGGGTGCGGGAGCACCTTGGTCACCAGCCCTGCACGTCATTCGGGAATACCGTGATATGGCCCTTGACGTGCCTCGGATACCTCACGCTCTGCCTCTGCCCGCCGGGGATGCTATACCTCGTCACGAAGCCGTAGCACGAGTTGAGCGAGATCAGCTTCTCCTCGACCGGCGTGAGGCCCTTGAGCTCGTCGGGGTACGCGTGCTCGCAGCCGAGCCGGCCGTGGAGGTGCATGCCAGGCGAAGCCCTCTCACGCCCGAGGCACCGCGCGCACTCTGCGCATACCGGCACCGCCCGGCCCTCGGGGAAGCAGCTTCGGCACGCGAATAGAGACCGGCCGCCCTCCGTGACGGGGCTCCGCCATGGCCACCTCCCACGCCATTTCCTTAGCTCCTCTCTTGACCGCTTCCGGTAACATACCTTGCAGGTCAAGACCGGTAGCGTGCCGGCGTCGTGGAACGCCCGGTAGAACCTCTGCACCGTTCGCACCTGCCTCGCGCGCGGCACCGGCATGCACCACGTCTGCTCGTCTGCGAGCCTCTCGCCCGCCGCGAACTCCTCCTCGAGGTGCTGCAGTACGCTGGCTAGGTCCTCGGCCTGCAGCCCTCCGTCTTGGGGTTTTCTGGCCCACCCGGACCCGGGAGCATTTCCTAAGGCCTGCCCGCCGGGGTGCGGCCTTCCTCTTCCGCTCTCCCCGGGCTGCCGATTCATTGTCCTGCCTGCGCCCCGTTAGCCGTCTTCATGCGCCTTGGCCTCGCTCTGCGACCGTACCGGCTTGTTGGCTGTCCGTGCTTCCGACGCTCGGTCCCGCCTCGGTGGGGGCGCCGCGTGGACTCCGCCTCAGAACCGGCCGAGCCCGTATGTGCCGCGGCGCCTGCTGGCCTCTAGGCGGGCCGCCCTCGCTCGGCGGCGGTGTGAGACCGGCTGCGATCGGTGTCGGCCGGGGCTGGATACGCCGCAACGCCTGCTGCCTTGCGTCGGCTTGGAGTCTCTGCTGCCTCGGTGGTCTTCCCCGCCTGCGCTTCGCGCCCTCGTCGACACTCGGCTGCGGCGTGGTGTGGCCGTTCCACCCTATTCCCATATCCGCTTCGCCCTGCCTAGGCTGGGCGATGTCGCCGCCGTTGGCAGTCGCACCTATCGGTCTCCAAGCGTCCCCGCCCGGACCGTCCTCGACCGGCGTCTCAAGGCGCCACGCGGTCCGTGGGCTTCCTGCGCCGGGCTCGCGCCCCCTGCTCCGCGCGGTCCCCTCCAGCAGCTGACTCCATCGCGATACTGGCTGCCACTACCTTTATAAACCTCTCATCTACCTCGTGCTGCTATGCCCTGACGTGGAGCCTCGTGAGTCGGACGTCGACGTATACGTCCTTTCCTGGGCTGCTCGTCTTGCGCTTATGTTGCTACTCGGCATGCAGCTTATGCGTAACGGACACTTTACATTTACAATGACCTATGTACTATATAGAGCTCCGTAGTACGTCTATAAGCATGCTGCTGCTCTTCACATTATACCGGCGCCGACTTTCCATTAAGCCTACCGGGAACTGCCTGCTGCTATCGCATGCAACGGCCTAGGCCGGTCTTTACATGTAAGTCGCTACGGCACCTTCCTCTTACTCGTGCTTTACATTCTACGCTCTCCTTGTTATCTGGAGCTATGTCGCTAAGCGCCTTGGTTCGAGGTTAGATGCTTGCATACTGGCTTTTAACCCCATGTCTTAAACGTGTCGCCAATGAAGCTGCCCTATTCTGTGACAATATGGCTTCCCGTATGTCGGTTGTCTTAAAAAACCCCTCTATCCCTAAGCAGACCGCCTTTTTGCCCTTTTCCCCTCGCTTCTCATAGCATTCTCTAGACAACGCTCTTTCCATGTTCTCCTAACCGCTAAAATTTTTCCCGTGTTTCCGTTAATATCTATGCTCGTGTTCTGTAAGGCGGCCCCTGGCCCTTCACTTCCCCGCCGGTTTCTTCCAACGATACAAAAATAGGAAGAGTTCCTGCTCCTATTCTGCCCCGCTTAAACGATTCAAAACGGCAGCGTCGCTCTTACGCTATACAACCTCGCCATGTCTTCGTCCCCGTCTTCGGCCGCCTCTCCGCCGCATCTGAAGAGGCCCTTAGTACTGGCAAGAGCGTCGACGGTGACATGTCTATGATGTTCTTCGCCCAGCCCGACTGCCCCTCGAGGTTCGCCCACTAAGACGAGCACCGCATCAAGAACCTTAACGCCGAAGGCTATCGCCCGTGTCTTCCTGCCCGTCCCCTCGTAGCTGCTCCCGGCCGAGTACGCGCCCCTCCGCGCGGAGCCGGATGCCGCCGACCCGGCTGTCTCTCTCTTCTTTAGCCTAGGTAAACCTCTCGATTTACGGCCAGCCGGTCGTCGACCCCGACCGGTCCGAGCATCGGTTCTTCGTTAACAGCCACGTCCACTCCCATGCCCTCCCCTGGGGGGTTCGAGTGCCGCGACGGTCTCCACGCCGGCCCGGGCGATACCGTCGTCTACAATTCCCACGCTCGTCGTCCGCGACCACGGCTACCATCCATGCCCCCCGCCCTGTATGCGTCTCCTCCCCTGCCGCGTCGCTGACTTCTCCTTCTGGCGTCCTCCCGCGCTCCTTGGCCTCCCGACGGCCACTTCCCTCGGCCCTCCGTCGTCTCCTTCCACGGCGTCGTCGCCGGCGCCGGCCTCTCCCTCTTGCGACGGGACCTCCAGCCCGGTCTCGACGCCGTCCGTCTCCGCTGCCGGCCGGGTAGTCGACCGTGTCTTCGTTCCTCAAGGCTTTTGTGCGCAACCCAGGGGGTTGCCTTACCTCGTTACCAATATGGGTCAATTCAGGCTCATAGCCACTTTCTTGTTACGTTATTCGCTACTATTTATTACGTATTCCCACCTCGCTGAGCCTTAGTCCAAAAGTAGTGGATGGGCGGCTCTTTGTCGCATAAGTTATCAAGCCTGCCTAGGATGATTACTCATGAAGTGGCGGTATTACTACGCAACGCAGGCAACAAGTCTTTCATTTGTGTATAAAGAGCTGCACAATTCCCTGCAGCTCGTTCACTCACTTCTTGTTCTTTAGATAATTCTCATCAATTGACTGATGCCATTCAGGTCGCTTTGCACAGCCGCTGTCGTGCCAGGTGTGGGCCGTAACTGTCTGACACTCTTTTTAATTTCCGAGAGCAACGGGCACAGAGCAAAAGTACGTTTATGGCCAGTGCGGTTGAGAGCACAGCTTAGTGAACACATCGACCCACGCTTTTTGCTGTCGGCGTCCTGTGTCAGCCCATGCCATGTGATGAGCGTCTATTTGCGGCCGTCTGCGGTCGTCATTGCACTTCCCGGCTACGAGATGACTTCGGCTTGCAAGATGTAGCCGTACTGCGGCAGAAGTCACCGACCTTCGGCAGGAAATGGCTTCCATAGCATAGGAATTGGAACAAAGGCAACAATTGGACCTTCGTCATAACGAGTTTCATCGTTGTAAGGTAAGCCAATGGCGTCGCGCGGCGCCTTCCCGCCTCTCTCCGAGTTCTCACCTGAATCGCTTGGCGGAAAGGTGTTTAGCTGAATTCGGACGGTCGCGCTTTTCTGCATGGTTCAGCGTATACATCTCAATTGAAGACATCCAGTTAAGTACTACATGACTCCTGGGCGGCATCTCGACACCGGACAGCATTACGCGTTCCGAATGGTGATCAAACCCTCTCCAGGTACTGTAGCAGTTCGAGGGGATAGCGTCAACTCATTTTGTCCAGAAACGAGCGGACAAACAGTCCATGAAACAGCTTCCAGGCATTGCAACCTCGGACGCTATCGGATCACTTGCGGCGCATGGCTTCCTTTAATTGGCCGTTCATCGTCACAGCTAATTTGTGTCGAAGCCGGTTCCTTTCACCCCAGCACCGTGCGGCTGTTACTCACCGAGACGATCGAGCTACAAAATTGTGCGTTCCTGCCTTATGTATCGCCGTGCTCGCCTCGCAACAATAGAAACACCACCCAGATTCCGCCGCTCAATCATGTCGCAGTCTGAGATCATTCAGGCCATTCTGGCTAGGAGGATCGCACCGCAATGGAAACATCGAGGGCAAAATGCACCCGCCAGGTTGTCGCAAACCGGTATCAGGAAGGTCTCGGGAAGCGGTATGATGTCGCGACCAGCGGATACTGGGTCCTCAAACGGGCCCAAGGACTGTGCGTCGCAGCCAATGACCTGCCAGGCTCCTTTCCCCTACGGGAATGGTCATGTTACGGGCGACATGTGGTATTGAAACACCCCTGTGCCTGGGGGCATTTACTGACGCGACCCAGTGGTGCCAGATAATGGCGAGTCTGGTTCTCTATAAACGAGGCTATCTAGGTAATCGTCCAGGTTGAAATGGTGAGCCTTAATGCCTGCTAACTTGTCTCATAGTTTGGAAGACCTGGTGATGCTCCAGGACTCTCAGTAAGTCATGACCCAATCACAGGAAACAGAGCGAAACGGAGAGTCTGAATAGCACTAGAATAAAGGAAACCCAGCGGATGTATGTTAACCACTGTGGTCAAGACTACGGCACCTAACAACACGCAAACAGAGTCAATGAGCTTTTGCAGAGCAAGGAGGAGTAAGCGCCCTCTCGCGCTCACTTGACACAGCCGTCTAACCTCGCCTGTAGTGAGAAATCTCAGGTACAAGAGGTTTGGAGTAGTATCATCCCTAGCAGCGGCTTCTTCAACACAGTGGACCTACCAACTTGCAGCTAGGAAAGTCCGGGAAATTGCGGAGCAACAGCCCAAACGGTCGTACGGAGGGATTAAAAGAGGTAGTGGTTTTCTTACTAACGATATAGACGACGATTCTTCTTCCAACGAGGCACCTAAGGAAAAACGAGCCAAAAGAGACGCATCCCCGGCCACCCCTCGAGGACAGGGTGGTTTTCCATATCTAAATATGGAAATACCCTTTCCATGAATGGCATGGAATAGGTATGGATATGGATCCATGTATTTCCATACTATTGGCTGAACCACGCCACTAACAAGGGTTCCTACAGGGGGCTACCTACAGGGCTGTGGGCCTGGAACCCCGCTACAAATCCGCACATCCACAAAATCAGCCTCACCACCAACCCACAGCATACCATTATCACCTGGCGACAATGGATTCTGAGCCTGTGTTAGTTATGTTTCTTCGATTCTGAATCCATTGCTTCGGATTCATTCGCGTCTATATCTCCCAAGACAAGAGAAAAC